CGTCTGTACGATATACCAAGTGTAATAGAAAGGGGGTACCGTCATGACGACATTGACCTTTTTGTTCCAAGTGCTCCCATCCCCATATTGCCCTACATTTAGGATGCTACCATGTTTACAGATCATTATAAAACATTGTTCACTTTGTATTCACAATTCATAATTTTGTTCAGAGTTCTATTCCCGACGGGTAAATAATAAGTAAATTGCTCAATAGGATTGTAGTTACAGAAGCACAAACCTCGATGATTGGAATCTTGTAATCAAAATCCTCGAAATTCTGAGGCCGCGTGGTTCATATCAAATTCAATATTTATCAACATCCAGTGACGGATGTACGTTTTTGATCAAATTGGGTATGATCTGGATGTTTCTCTCAATAAAAATTATCAGGCAAAAAGATCTTATATTGTATTTTACCTCCCAAATCTGCGATCTGTGAACTGGACACGATAGAACATGGCTTATATGACTGTGTAGTTTTAAAATAATTCCAAAAACAATGCCAGGATATATTGTCAGAAGATACGCAAAACCGAGATAGTTTTCTTCTTGGAACAAACAGCCAACCTGAAGACATCTTACTGCACCTGAAACAAAAAACATATATATACAAGTATAAAATGAAAAAGATCCGCCCCAACATAACAGAATGGCGAAGCTATACTGTCACAAATGATGAACTTATAGAAAGTACATGCTCAAAAAATAAAATACATGACATACTATGGACAAAACTCAGGATGTTTACAAAAAGCTGAAGAAAACTGAAGACCACTCACATTTGTAGGCTATTTTTATTTTTCATATCACATCGTTGCCCCCTGTACCATTTCTTTTCTTTAAGTCTTATATATTTATTTAAAGGCCCCGTGTAAAGTTTTAACCACTTTGGCTTATATTGTAGTCTTACCCAATGTCATCAAAGTGAAACTTTTTTTTTTTATTTCAAAAAGTGGTTTTTGATAGACTTTTTGTTCCAAAATTTGTGAATTTATTTAAAACCAACTTTTAGAGGTCACTCATATCTTCTAATTAGCCACAATTCATACCAATGCATAGCATACATCCTCCCATGTTTTTTTGCCCAAAAAATTAAGGAAATCGGTTGATAAACAAGCGAGAAATGAACTTATCAGTGCATGAAAATGGTTCTGAGAAAAATGCATTTCAAAATTTTAGTTCTCATAGAAACCGATGGTACAATGATATCTAAAACATAATTTATTCTTCCTTTTTACCTGGTTAGACAATCAACATTGGTTTTTTATGAAAGTCTAGCATATTTAGAAAAGATTGACATCGAAAAAAAAATTCAATTTTTTCAAAAAGTTTTTGTTACCTTAGTGACATCACTAATGTTTCAAAATATTTTTGATAAGCTAAAACATTGAAGTGGCCCATTAAATATGACATTTTATTATTGAAATAGTATGTCTTTTGTTCAATCTTTGCATTGGTGTTAAAAATATAATCTTTTTTGAAATGCATTAAGAAATATTTGATGATTAAGAAATTTCAACTTTTTTTGAAAAATGGCGGGAAATTTGAATATTTGAGATATGAAATGCTCACAACTTTTTTTTCAAAAAAAAATTTTTGTTCAAAAATCTCTAAAATCACTTTTTAAGTCCTGACAAATAGTAAATGAATGATAAAAAAATATTTTCAAACTTTAGACGGGGACTTAAATAGACTAAGAAATCAATGTAAACAAAATTTTAACTGTGAATAAAGATATATAAAAAAAATGTTGTAGTGTGCTCTGCTAGGAAAGCAATGGTACATGGTATTCAGTATATTCTGAATATTTTCAGAGAAAAATAAAAATATTATGATACAAATAAGTAAGCTGAACTGAATTACTGAATGAACTGAATTACTGTAGCATCGAGAAAAAAGATGATCTATATACAGGGAAACCTATTCCGATATCTTACTTGTGGTAAAGAAGATCAGAAAGGTGATTGCTTGGTCCCACATTAGAGAAGTTATATTTTCAAAATCCCTTAATACTCAAGATCAAAACTTTGGTTTTCATGTTATCTTCCTTGCCAAAAAACATTTACAGACAATGTGCCATGCTTATGAGTATCTACATATCAAATATGAAAAAAATAGCTCTTTTACTTTTTGAGTTATAGTAGAAAACTTAAAAAGCAATACGTTAAAATGACGGCCATAGTCGAAGTGTCATATAACAGTGTGTCATGCTTATATGAGTACTCACAAATCAAATATGAATAAAATCGCTCCAAAACTTTTCAAGCTATAGCAAAAGTCGTAAAATGGCGTGTAGAGGCCGCCATTTTTCAAGATGCTGCCATGTGTTTCTTAAATATCTACATTTCTAGCTCTATTAATATATTTACATTTAAAACACATTGCTATAATTACAGTTTTACATATTTTTCCTAAATCAATGTACAATCGGCACGAAAATGGCCGCCATTTTTAAAGGAGTGGCCATTTTGAAAATCGGCTTTCGAGCATACTGACCCTCATAGGGCACATGTGTACAAAATATGAACGGAATCGGCCCAACGTTACTTAAGATATTCCCCGGACAGACGGACGGACAATACAGACGGAGGCCTTCACTCCGAACTTTGTTCGATGGGATAATAACAATATTGTAGACAGCATACATAAAAAAATTCCTTGTACATGTACTTTTATATTTTGAGGCATGACTAACATCAGTATAAAAGTATTGCTTTGGAAATTATCCTGGAACTGTATATTTTCATTTAGAGCCCTAGTGTCTAGCTGTTACCATAGCTTATAAAGGTACACCAGGAGATTAATCTAATCCATTTTTAGGAACTATTTTAAAAGTGATTTTTCTTTCATTTCCATCGAAAATATTTTTAAAAAATTAAGCATTATTAAAAAGTTAAAATCACAAAATTAAAAATATGAATGTTTTTTGGCCCAACCTGAAAGTGGACGATGTTTGCCCTTCAGCTTTAACACTGTGGAGGAACTCGTACAGCGAGTTACGTAAACGGATCAGTTTTCGTAACAAAATGGGGCAAACGATTTCGATACGTTTTTGTTTTTGCATGATTTCACGAGATATAAGCAGAATCATTATGTTATGTTAACGGAATAATTCTCAAGTAAACTTATGTTTACACGCTCAGCTGATAAAGTTGGCAAAACAAATGTTAATTGATAATTGATATGGTATAGAATTTGTTACAACGTTCACTCCAAAGAGCCACTATAATTTGTTTCGATTAGTGCGAACAGTGCAATATTCAACTTTGACCTACCTGGTCCTCCTATAATATAAAACTAGAAAAATAGCAAATGCACGGAGTAACCAATCCAACTGCAGCGGAGTAGCAAATCCCACCGAACAAAACATAAAGTTCTTTGTCTGCTGCAACGAATATTTAGAGGGGGCTCATATCTGATGATCATTTCTTATTTTTTATAAAATCACGCAGAAACAGCTGTCTAGCTTCGAAGATGCAAAAATAATTTGTATGGATACACTTTAAATCGCGCCATCCATCATCTATAAATGGTGTCACTTTTATGTTAGTCCAGGTTCTGTTATTACACCCTATGCAGACGGAGCTTGTAGGAAATATTTGGTGCGGCAGAAATGAGCGTTTTTTCATTTAAAGGAATATTTCTGGAACTAAGCCGTTTTGAGACACCTAATATCAATAAAATTGTGAAAATAGAAGTTTAATTCATCATATAGCGACGCAGTTTACATTAAACATCAGTTAACGGGCTTCTTGGCAAAAACATGGAAATGTATTTCCTAGTATGTTTAGAGGTTCTGGAAACATTTGGCGTGGTCCAAGTAACAATACATAATATCATCAAGCAATAATCTTTGTTTATTAAGCGTCTGCCGCACCAAATATTTAGAGTGGATTCATAGTGACGATCATTTCCTATTTTTTATAAAATCAAACAGACACTGTGTCTAGCTTCCAAGATGCAAAAATAATTTGTATGGGCAGTGTTTCTTGAATACCATTTTTATGAATGTTGGGGACGCTGTATACATACGAAAATTAAAAAAAATATAGGTCGGGATCGGTTTAATGCATACTGCGTCGCAATAGAATAAATTACACGTCTATCATTTTTACAATTTTATTGATACTCGGTGCCAACTACACATATTTGGCTTAGTATCAGAAATATCCCTTTAAATTAAAAAATGACCGATGCATCCGCATCAAAAGCTCATTTCTCCCACACCAAATATTTCCCACATGCTACGTCTGCATAGAGTGGTTATTAAAAATTCAACACTTAGCACGAACATTTTGCGCGATCAAGTCTACATTAAACAGAATTCATTAGAGAATTTCGAGTTCATTATCTAAATTGGAGATATTTGGTATTCCCGGGAGGGCATGTGCAGTTGTGTTCTTTTTGTTGATTTAATCGAATGAGATTACATAGCAGACGACTGGGAATATTAACCCATCTCTATCTTTACTCCTGGGAAGTTTTTTGTTACTACAAATCTATCGGATATGGACCTTAGATCTAACCCAATTTTGATCTTTCCTATTTTGTATTCCTGTTGCCGTCAAATTTCATTTTGGATGTTTGGGTTATATTTCATGATTGAAAATTTTGAAAAGGTGATACATATTCTCTTATCTTGTTCGTCTTGTTCTAAAATTGTTCATCAGGTTGGATATTATTTATTAAAGTTAATAAAGCCATATTAATTGGCTTTAACATAAGCTATTAAGACGTTTTTCCTGGCTACAAGAACAGCCCAGTGCCATTAGAAACCGAGTATTGGCTTTTTAATTTAATTGACATGTTCCACAGATATATTTAAGATATTTAAAAATAAATATTCCAAAAACTTTGCCATATTTTCGGATCAGTAGCAGTTTATGATAAAGGAAATGAGAGAACTTGGATCAAAAGGGTTAACAGGGCCTTTGACGTAGCTGATATCTTGTTATTGATAAATTTCTCAATAACCAATAACAAGTTTCATCGATCGAAAACTTGTTTGGGAATTCGAATCATCTCTTGCCGTGACGTCTACCGATACACAACGTTAATAGATACAATTATATCACCAAGAAAGCAATTCAAACAGATGTAAAGTTGCACATCAGGCATATAGCACTAGAGAGTGGGAAGTGTGAAACAGCTGGTGGGCGGAACGGATATTTGCTATTACAGGACATTCTATCATATTGGATCATTCTCGAATCCTATTTACCGTACAATAGACTCCAGGCCATGTCCGGGATGGATAGTGTTCATCTGACGTTGTCAATCATTTTGGCATGTCTTCTAATTCTTGTCAAAGCGGGTGATACACACATAGTAGAGGATGCGGAAAAAGCAGAGGCGGAAAATGTAAAGCGTAAACTTGCAGATGGAGCAGATCTTGGAAAAGATGGTGATAGTTTGCAGGACTGGACCGAAATTATCAAAAAATGGTACGGCATAAGGAATAGACAAAACCAAAATGTATTCCCACAAGACTCGCCAATTGATAAAAAATGGTATGGCGCAAGATTCCGACAAGACGTGCCAACGGATAAAAAATGGTATGGCGCTAGATTCCGACAAGACTCGCCAATTGATAAAAAATGGTATGGCGCAAGATTTCGACAAGACTCGCCGATTGATAAAAAGTGGTATGGTGCAAGATTCCGACAAGACTCGCCAATTGATAAAAAGTGGTATGGCGCTAGATTCCGACAAGACTCGCCCATGGATAAAAAATGGTATGGCGCAAGATTCCGACAAGACTCGCCAATTGATAAAAAGTGGTATGGAGCAAGATTCCGACAAGACTCGCCAATTGATAAAAAATGGTATGGCGCAAGATTCCGACAAGACTCGCCCATTGACAAAAAATGGTATGGCGCAAGATTCCGACAAGACTCGCCAATTGATAAAAAGTGGTATGGAGCAAGATTCAGACAAGACTCGCCAATTGATAAAAAGTGGTATGGAGCAAGATTCCGACAAGACTCGCCCATGGATAAAAAATGGTATGGTGCAAGATTCAGACAAGACTCGCCAATGGATAAAAAGTGGTATGGAGCAAGATTCCGACAAGACTCGCCCATGGATAAAAAGTGGTATGGAGCAAGATTCCGACAAGACTCGCCCATGGATAAAAAATGGTACGGTGCAAGACTACAGGCTCGTCTAAATTCACCAAGTTATATGAGTGCGGTTAAGAAATGGTATGGGGCGCGACTACAGAAGCAACAAAGGTATCGACCTTCAGGATATAGGTATCGTTATGGAAGTACAAACAAAAGAACAATGGATGAAGAATTCGATGAACACAATAGCGATCTCGGAGACCTGAGCAAAGAATCGGATGACAACGAATCTCACAACCAAGTACTTGATGAGAACAATCTAAGCGAAGGGCTACTCCAAGCTTGGAAAAGAAGTCGATTTGATAGCAGTGACGATGATTTAGAACAGTTCGATTTGAATGATCTACAGTCGTGGAATGAATGAAGGAAGAGACAATGAGATGATCTTTACATGGTATTGCTTCATTTTTAATCCCTTGAATTCCAAGCACAACAAAAATGAAGTCAAGTGATGTTTTACTTTTTTACATTTATTAAATTGAACATAAATGTTATTTTAAGTTAAAATGGCGAAGTCACAATTGGCAAAAGATATAAAAAGAAAATGCTACTTGGTATTCAAGAGGTTGAATATTTACCATATGTATGGATATGGTTATGTATGGTCGCAGAGTTGTTCTCAACTACGTATAGTACTCGTTCTAAGTCTCAAAAGCTTATAATCTCAAAACTATTCTGGATCTTAAGTTCATGTTTATTTGTTTTTATCTCAACCAATAGACACTGAAGAACTTTAGCTGCATGATTTTTCATAACATTTTACGTGCCTCTGCTGGCGTTACTCAAATATTTTACAATTATTTTGAAAAATAATTTCCTGAACAAGTCATACAATTTCAACATTTTAGACAAGAGGGTAAATAACCTTTGGTTGCCACTACACTTTCTTCAAACCAATGAACTTCTTTTATTGGTTTGTGTCTCTTTGTTTTGTTTTCTTATGAATTTTTTTATTGGTCTATGACTAACGTCAACCACGTCTTATCGCCATCGCTGATTGGTCGAAAAACGTTTCATTGATCACGTCGATGAAACAAAATGAACAATTCAAACTTTGGTAGAGACGCTTCGTTTCAATACAAAATAGTATCTGGTGTAATTAAGGAATGCTGTAATATACTTTTGTATATCAAAATAAAGAAAGCTGTAAGAAATGCGTTTATGTCAATTACTTAAAAAAACTTCACATCGATGTATAGTATTCTGATGATAGGTGTTGAAAAAGTGCACGAAACGAGACCAAGAAAAAACATAGGGCCAACCATTAACTAAGATTTGTATCCTCTTATTTAAGGAAAAGTAAGTTTTAAGATTGAGAATAGGAGTTTATAAAGACTTGTAATGCAATTCAAAATTTCTCCCATTTTGAAATTCTCCTATTTGAAATGTCGTTGCTATAACGGGTAGCCAGGGTAACCAAGGTATGCACCCCTAGACCTCTAGTTCGCGAAATGCTCAATCTTAAAGTTTACATTCAATATAAACGATAAGATTATATTCAAGACTAATTATTCAAATTAAACTATTTTGGTAGTTCGAATTTTCATGTACTGAAAAATTTGTTCTCTGTTTCCTGCCGTGTGGTTACATGGCTCGGATATTCATATCATTTCTATTTTGATGTGTTGACAGAGGATCGAATATAATCATTCCGACCCCCATTGTAACGTTTATGCACATGCGTGCCGTCTATCTTATATTGGTCTCATCCTGATCTATGCGAACCTTCAGTTGTGGGTACGCAGTTTAGTCGCAATAATTTTGGACTACAGGCTAATATGTGTCATTAATTTAAATGTAATTTTGTGTTCGTATATTGTAATACACACGAGTTAAAAAAACTATTGTATTGTTTGATGTATATTGATATTCTGTACAAGGCTCTAATAAAGGGCTGTCTTTATCTTGGCCTTTGCTTAATCCGATCAGAAACCATGAATTTTTAGAAGTGGTCATATCTAGCCCTTTGTTTGATTTCTCAATGAGAAATTGGACGGGTACTTTACTCTTGGTATTTCACAATTAGTGGCATTTATTGTGATATTTGAATCATCTGTTATACAGGCCTCCTAGACTTCCAACAACGCGAACATCAGTTCTGATCTCGCGAACTACGTTCCTTGAGCTCGAACCACGACTCTCACGTCGCGAACGTGAAATCTTATGTCGCGCACCACCATTTCCTTTTCCCGAACATATTTCTCCACTCGCGAACAGAGATCCATGCGAGCACGGATTTCTGTTCGTGAGTGAAGAAATATGTTCAGGAAAGAGGAAATGGTGGTGCGCGACATAAAATTTTATTTTCGCGACGTGAGAATCGTGGTTCGAGCACAAAGGAACGTAGTTCGCGGGGTCAGAACTGATGTTCGCGTTGATGGAAATCTAGGAGGCCTGGTATGGAACGAATTAAATATTTTATGTTCTGCAAATATCATTCCTTCAGTCCGCTATTCCCTCTTGAGAACTTTGTTCTGAAACTGTTATTTCAGCATATCTAATTTGCGTTTAGGGAATTTTGTGAAAATATAGTTCAGTTGGACTACGCAACATACAGTTAACAATAGGAATCTTTACTTAATACATTAGATTCTGTTACTGGACAAATGTGACAATGCATGCGTAGCTATTGGATCTTGATCCGCCATCTGTAATAGACTAGATGCGAGTAGAAATAATCTTGATTTACGTTATTATATATTCAAAATTCAGTCAAAGTGATGTCATATTTGAAATCTGCATGTAAAAGTACATCTAGAAATATGGTTTCGAGAATTGTCTATCAACACTCTCCCATGTATACCGTTCCGTATTAGTGAAATTGTTGACATTAATACGGAATAAATCATACCATTTCATGAAAAATGGTGACCTTGTCCTACGGAAATTGGGATTATGTTTCACAGCAAGTTCGCATGGCGATACTGTATAGCACATGCTCTGGGGAATTGATTCTTCTTTCTATAGACACCAATCACATCTCTGTCGATAGAATAATAAAAAAGCCTTAGGGTCCCAACCTCCTTTGTTTACATTTACAAAAACGTGAGAAAATGACAAAAGTTGTCATAACTTTTTAAATCTTAAACTTTTGAAACCGATTTCACTTGGCAGCGACAGATACTTTAGTCGTTGACGAACCGAACATGTCAGTTTGGTTCGTAATATCTCCAAATAAACGATTTCAACATTTTAAAAAACTCGATGCTAGTCCACGTGTTAATACGGAATTGGTCGACTCAATAAGTAAACTCAATGAACAAAACGGTACACTCGTGAATGAAATGAAGATTAAGATAATTAGTAGTGTTATACAATATGAATGTGTTTTAACCCGGGGTATGAAACATAATACCTTGAATACGGGTTTCAGTAGGATGGACATTTAGTTTCAATTATAACTTCATTCGTCATGGAGAGGGTGAGAGTGTCATGCTAGCTGTCCATTTTTAACACTTCAATTATCCTCTGGTGTCATGGGAACGTGTTGGGGGAATCGGCAGGTAAGAAAACAACTCGTTCACAAAGTACCAAATAATATGACACCTACCAGGACTTTCGTGGGGTATTCTTGTGCACCCCAAGAAATACCCCACGCGATACCATCCCCTGACTATAGCAATTCTTAAATACAAACAAACACGTGGCTTTATTAGCTTGGATCCAGGACATGATTATATAAATGGTCAACATCATAAAGGGAGTATTTTGGACAAAAAACAGAGCTCTTGCAAGTTGCAAAGATAATCAAATGGTGAGTAAATTAACCAGTGTACGTACCCAGAAGTTTCAGATGCAGTGTCTGTATCTGAATTGTGGAATATACTTGCCTCTGCATCGCTATCCGTGTCACTCGAGCCATTAGTTTTAACTGTAGAAGACCGTTTCCTCCTCCTTTTCCCCAATGTCAATCCCAATTTCTTCTTCTTAATTACGAGGTCGAGGCATCTTGAAAAGCGGGTTCAGGTTTTTGATGAAAGTACTTAGTATGATAACCGCTACGAAAAAAGGTTTGCCTGACTAGCCCACATGATTTGGTATCCTTATAAGAATTGAAAATAAACGTAAAATAACATACCTCATCTGTGTACGCGCAGTTCTTTGGGCGTGGCAGTGCGGGATAGTTAACACTTCATGGTAACTAATTGAGCCGATTAATAAGAGGCGCATGATTAATTTGGGATTATAAACTTAGTACAGCTAATTAACAGGATTAATACATGGTGAACTGGGTCAAACTCGGTAAACAAAACACTCAGATGTTTGTTGGTGCTTTTATTATCATGTTTTTTATATCCACAAGAATTGGTGTGGGTACATGTAATCCCGGGCATGTAATACAAGATTCAAGATTTTATTGTGTTTCAAGCCAAACAGTTGGCGTCCTCACATGAATTTTACATAAAGGGGTGAAATTATTTGTTACATACAATAATAAAAAAGAATGAAAATGTTTATGAACAACCAATACCTGGTGTTGACGGTCGTTGAAGCCGTCGATAAAGTACTACCTATTAGATGCAATAGGAAAAAGTACAACAACCTATCTTTACTATTAATGGGCGTAAAACTATCGCGTTGATGCCGTCGATGTACAGATTATCTTTTAATACTTAAGAAAAAGAAGAAAACACTAATTATGTACATTAAATCCTTGCGATTGACGCACATGTTGACGCCGTCGATTAATGTGCCATTTGCATGCAATGAGATACTGTCCAATGTCCATCAATAAGCTATCAGAACAATTGTCATTGCAAGTTTGATTATGATTTCCCCGGGAATGTATACGATTTAACACCCATTCCGTATTGACACTTGGAAACCGTTTACCCATTCCGTATTAACACGTGGACTAGCATCGAGTGTTTTTAAATTGTTGAAATCGTTTATTTGGAGATATTACGAACCAAACTGACATGTTCGGTTCGTCAACGACTAAAGTATCTGTCGCTGGCAAGTGAAATCAAGGTCACCATTTTTCATGAAATGGTATGATTTATTCCGTATTAATGTCAACAATTTCACTAATACGGAACGGTATACATAGGAGAGTGTCAACTTTGAAAATTTAATTTTTTTGAAAATGTGACTTCTTGTTCGGGTTGATTCCCCATAGACCCCATGTTACAAAATCACAAAAAGTGAATTACCTTCTCTTGTATTGGACAGATAAGATTTTCCTTTACTGGACATATTTTTATTTACATAACTATTAGATACATAAGGGTTATATGAAAATTGAACCACGGAAATAGATGTGATTTAAGTTAAAGGGAACTTTCTACTATACCCGCCATGCTATCTGACCCGAACGAGCCACCTGGTGGTGAATATGGTAACTACCTACTTGCATCTGCGTTATTCGGTTTAGTACGACAAAATATTTTTTAACAGTGTGTACATGTACAAATAAAAGCGATATTATAGAAATGCATTCGAATTTTTTACAAAGGCTTGTACCATACGACCACGTACTACGAACATTGCATTAATCTAATGCATCTCCCATTGGTTTTAGCATTCCCTCGTTGCCTGTTCCCAAGTCAACACTAATTTTAATTTTTGCATGAGCAAGTGGAAACAACTCTCTGAATCTGTTAAATTCACACGACGTGGACAATGTGCTGAAAATGGAACATATTTGACCATGGTCTCCATGGAAAAAACTAATTAAGTAAACAGATGGATTAATTTAAACAAACAACATTTCTACTGCATTTACTAATCTTTTGTAATCTTGCTTTTTATGCTGAATGTCATGTTCAATTCCCCATTGTTCCACTAGCTGTATTGGATGTTAGATAAAACGGTCCAGATCGATTCGGTCATTATATTGGTATTTTTCGACAAGAAGAATCGGGGTATAATAATAAAGCAAAATATCACATTTCATCTCACGCCTAACGATCAATTCAGTAAAATGAACTGGGGATCAAATGTTTTCATAAACTCATATTTTTCAGTATTATATTGTGATGGGTCTATTAGGGAATTGAAAATGGGAATCAAATCACTTGGATTTACATCTAAATACGCTAACGGCATACAGTATGAGCAGGTTCTCTCCAGCCGCCCACGGATGTATTAATTTCTTCCATTAAAGATTGATGAAACCAAGCTTTACATCACAGAGAACTTAATATTTACGATTGATGGCTATTTAGCTTTATTGTTTTGCTATCAGTTTGGAAATCGATTCCATTTTATAAGAAAAATGAGCACAGAAATAGGGGTGTTGTTTACGATCATGATTTGGCATGTATCTATCTCTTCCCAATGGAAAAGTGTTGTCAAACTCACAATGGCAATTAATCTAAGTGATCTAGTCTCAGACGTATTTTCTGTAATTGCATAATAATCTCCGTGACCATCATGTAGACTTGGCATATTCCAGAGCCTATGATTGATTAGGCCATTCTCCTCTACAGTAACCTTTGGATGTCTTACATACATCACTCCCAGCAGATACATGCTGATTAGTTAGAGCAAATATAGCAAAAGATGTTTCGTTTAATAAGGTGTTGTTATAAATTACGTAATTTGCCCCAATATGTCAATTATAATTACAAGTTGACTATATCAATGGTAATTTTTAGATTTTTTATAGTTATTTAAGTGTACAAAACAAGAGTAGACATATTGAAAAACATGCCACATTTATCACCATGTATTTCTGTTCAAATCATTTATGAACAGTATTGATGAACGCTGATTTTAACTTCGTAAATCATTAGCTCGCCCAACTCCATTGGATGTGATGCAGCACCAACATTTTTCGGAGGAGGATTGGCGAATGCCAGGATGTACATTTGAGGGAAATACGATGTATGCAACTCAATGTCGGATATTTTATACTAGATGACCTCTCGTTAAGGTCAAATGTTTGAAAAGATGTATTTATCAATTCATTAACTACTGTTCATGACTTTACAAGTTATTTTTTAATTTCCCGCCATTTTTCAAATAAAAGTTGAAATTCTTCATTCATCAAATATTCCCCTATACAACGCAAAACACATAAACGTGAATATTGCACAAATGGCACACTATTTCAATGATGAAATGTCATATATCATGCGCCACTGAAATGTCTCAACATACTAGTATTTAAAACGTTGCACTCTAAATAACATCATTATGATGTCACTTGGGATGCAAACATTTTTTGAAAAAAAATATGCCATTCTTTTCTAAATATGCTTACCTTTCAAATAAAGCAATATTGAGTGTCTAACTGGTTAAAAAGAAGAATATGTTTTGAATGTTACTGTACGATTCGTTTCGGTAACAAAATGTCGGAACGTCGAGGGTACGATTTTTCTTTTTTCCTTATTCCACGCTTGTAAGCAGAATCCACATGACGTTTTTTCCTGATACTGATACACGTCTGTGATAAAATGTCTTGGGAATTCTGCCTACAATGTAGGCTGCCTACAATGTATAAATAAGGAAAAAAGGAAAATCGTACCTTTGATGTTCCGACATTTTGTTACCGAAACGAACCGTTTCAGTAACAAGCGTAATCGAGTGGATCACCAGTGCAAACGACAGGTTAGAGGTCGAGGGGTCTAGTATACCGAAATGGGACTTCTATGATAACTAAAATTGTTTAAAATGCATTTTTCTCTGAACCACTTTCAGCATGGATGTGTTCAATCCTCCTTTATTCACTAACCCATCTCTTTCGATAAAAACATATGAGGATGAATGCTATGCACTGGTGTGAACCACTTTTCGAAATTGAAATATATCTTATAATAGCACATATATTACATATCACATTTTGATAACATTTGGTAAGACATACGCCAAAGTGGTTTAGACTTTATATGGGGGCGCTAAAAGTTTTAACGTGTTTTATGTAATGGTCCTCATCCCTTAGCAAATACAAATTCTAAAGGATTAGTATCGATATGGCGAACTAAATTGAATACATGTGTCATCAAAAAATTCTATTTTGGGGTTTGACTACTTTTTTGTTAAATCAACCAAAATTTCCTCTGTATGACTATAATATTGAGAGCTCTAAGAAAATGTTGAATATGTTATTTTGTTCCAGCAAGGTTCGGAAAGATATTTTACTTGGTAGAAAGGAACAAAAAATAATTGCATTAAGAATCAAAAATGTTAACAAAAACATTAACAAAAAATATATTTAAATAATTTTCGCATTAAATTGTGGTCAATCAGTGAGCATTACATAAAGGGCTGTGTTTTTTAACAGAATGTTTTCAATAGTCGGGTTAAGAGAAAAACAATGTTGAATTCAGTTCGCCATATTGATACCAATCCTTTAAGATGCTGGTAGTTAGAGTCAAAATGTTAGCCTGGAGTGACATTAGTGTATTGTTGTGGATTTAATATGCAACAGCAAATGTATTTATTATACCAATTGTTTTAATCATATTCAACAGTTAAAGGCCCACTTTGGGAATTTGCAACATTTTTGAGCAAAGTAAAAACAATTAAACAATTAAATGTCATAGTATGTCCAATGTATTGATAAGAACCTTATCTTTCATTTGACACCAACAACAGCTAAAATGGACCACATCAAAGCTTACAATAAATTATCAAAAAGTATTTTCAATCTGTCAAGTTTTATATATCAAGTTTTTATCAATGTCATTGAAAGATGGCAGAGTTGTTTGTATTACATGATACATTCATTTTTATAGAAATGTCGCCATCTTTTAAATCAATAGTAATTTAAAACATGCACTTTGTTTAACATGTGCATGCATGTCTAATGATCTCTGAACTTCAAATGCTTTTTTCTATGCGAGTTATTTTTTCTTAGTTCAAAAATATTAAAGCAAATCAAACTTTGTGTCATGTTTGAGCAAGTGTGTGAGTAACATGTTTCAAAATTATTTTTTCTTCTAAATTAAGTATAGCGTGCCTTTAATATTTCAACAATAAGCTGCTGCAGCAAACCGATGGTTATGTTAGATACATTTATCCCCCGGGGTTTATCCGGAGCTATATAATCGAAAGCTAAAGTCTAATCATTCATTATAGCTACAGTCAAACTTATGACTCAGTCAGGATCCTTGGATGACCATCTCTGCATGACACATTTCCATCACAGCTCCATATAATGTATTCACCTGCCGAGAATGTAACTTTCAAGCTGTGAGAATGGCCGTTCTTGGGACTGGTGGTAACATCTACGATTCCATCATTCCTCACTGCCTCTACATCTTCCGCTGTCAGCTGCACCAAATGAGCATGTGGACTTGACGTGGCTATTCCTGTTTCAAGAGTGATAGCCTCATATGGTTCTGGTGTAACTTCGTCAATGTTCTCGAATTCCGGCATTTCCCTGTACAAGGAATGGTAAGTTTTGCTCTCGTGAACTAAGTCACGGACTGCTTCCATTTCCTGGTAGATGGCTGACCCCTCCTCGTGTATTGGCATAATGGGATAGCGTTGCCTCAAGGTGCCTACGCCGGGAATATCCGGGAGAAGAATGTAGGTACCAGACGCTGCTACCTTACGAACATTTCCCTCAGGGTCAAGTACTCCGACTGCATCTTCGGCGGTATCTGCTGCGTCACCTTCGCCAGCAGCACCGGTGTAGAATTCAATAGGCGTTTGATAATAAACCCTGTGATTTGTGCCATTGTACGCTTTATCTGCTTCGAAGCCGCCATTTCGACCATTTGCAGTAACGGACCTACTCTCGAGGTTATTGTTGTTGTATGCATTACCTTTATAAGCTAAATTGTATGGGTTCCATTTACTAAGTGGGGTCAGCCATACAATTTCAAGTGGAATAGCAAAAGTCCAGCGAGCTTTGAGAATACATCTCTCTGCATCATAGTCGGCAGCCTCTTTATCACATGTTTCCAAGGCCATCTCTCTAACGTTTGGTTGCGATGTTTTTGCCATAAATACAGAGTCATCTGAATAAGATCTGCGAAATATGTCGACACCCATAGCATCAAGTTTTTCAGTACTAAAAAATCGATGGTAAAATGCAGCATTCAGGGGCTCTCTTGTCTTTAAATCAACTACTTCTTCACCATCTATAGTTGTATCTCTAAGTGATCCACCATAGTTATCTGTACCTGGTACTTCTTTCATAATTTCATCAAGAAAAGTTGGAGAAGCCTGGGAGTATTTGAAGTAGGCGGATGTATCTCTGGTGTTTAATCGAAACCTTGCGCTTCTGGTATTTTCAAACTTATCGATTGGTGAATTTCTCTTCATTCTAAACATAAAGTCATCAACAAGGCGAAATCTGTCTAATTTTATCTCCTTCTTGACCGGATGACACATGATGCGGTAGTTCCATTGTGCAAATTCTGGTGATGTTGCGTTGTTTATCCCCATGATGGTTACAGGAAGAAAAGCAAGATTCTCTTGTGCTGATTTTGAGCCAGTATATGACGTGTACCTATGAAAAGGGAATAAATTGTCATCACGTTGTACAAGGTCATTATACCGATTTGATGAATCAAAAAGTACTTGAAACTATCTATTTCAATTATAATTCAGTTAAGGTTGGAATTATGACGAAATTACACCAAGAACTTAACATAAGCTTATTTCAAAAATATTTCATTCCATCAAAGTGAATATTTGTTAATTTCTCACGTAAGGTTCCCCAGAGGACTATATGACAGTGATATTTAAAAAGTCAATTTTGAAAGAGTGCCGAAACCACACGATACATTCGAGTATGATATATTTGTGTCGATGACTTGAAAAATCAACATATCAAATTACCTAATTTTTTCTTGCAGGTCAAACCAACTAGAAGCATCCAAGAAATGCCGATCGCTAAAGTATGACTCTAGACTCTCCTCTGGGTCCAACCAGGCGCCTTCTAAGTAACACAGGGCGGGTTTGAAGTGCTGTCTATAGTCCCTAACACTGTGATCCTGATCCTTCCAAGCCCTGAACCATTCACGCATCTCTAATATTTGCCCATCAACGGTAGGTTGATCTAAGACAGCTTGGGGAACATCAGGGAATGGCACATCTTGTACTTCATGAAATTTTGAGCTAGTTTCACTAGGCATGTAAAGCCTGTAGTCATTATGCCGAGTTCGGAATTCCACTCCATTTAGGACGGCCGAGAACTCCCCAAGGCCGCACGTACGAATATTATTATTGTGTTGATGTATTGATGCAACGCCAAAACCACCGTAAGACCTCTGATGGTATGATTTAAAACCTGTATTACGACCTCTCACCTGTATAGATAACAGAAAAATATATGATAGATCTTGGGCATTTAATTTTATCAATGACGGTGAAACTAGCCCTAACTGATTTGTGATGTAAATAACCTTGGTCGGGAACTGTATAGTTTCTGTATCTACTATAGGAAGGATCTCTATTTTTTCAGCAACGCTGAACATGTAATACCATTATTTATATATATATATAGTGTGTTTTGTAAAAAAAACTTATGTCAAAATATACAAAATGGATGTTCTAATGAGTCTAGTTCCTTCGTATTACCTTCTTGATGCCAGATTGTCCATCACCACGGATACGTTCCTCAACGAACAATTGCTGCATCATTATCTGACGCGACATCACCTCAACTGTTTGTTCAAGTGCATCATTTCTTCCATCGTCTGCCAGCATGTTCAACTTTTCTATAACAGCAATGTTTTTATCAATTGAGAAGTGCCATTATTGGTAAAAGAATGACGTCAGCAACATGCATTATGGTTTCATAAAGAGCTGGGCAATGTTATTTTTAATAAAGGAATGATAGTATATTTGAGTTGCAATAAAGAACCTTGTATCATTCTATATTGGAAACTTAAAAGCATTCATGCATGTACTTACCCATCCTGATAATACATTATCGGGCTCCGCCCTCATGCATTGAATGTACTGGTTGATACATGTACTCATGCTTTTAAATTTCCAATAAAGAATGATAGAAGATTCTTTATTCCTTTAGTAAATATATATTATTCTTATTTCAGTGATTTCAACATTTTTGCCATTCCATCAAAAGTTGATTTATGTGAATAAATTTAGGTCGTATTTTCTTACAGTTGGACTCGCATACCTTCAATTTCATCCAATCGGCCCGAATCTACGGATGGAGCTCTCCTCATTCTAGAGGGGTGTATCTCTACAAAATCTGATTGGGTGGTAGCAGCCATTGACCCAAGTAGGGCCGCGTATAGTATCAACTTCATATTAGAAGTAATTTGTATCTCCTGATGCAACTTGTTGGGTTGCTTCTCCGTGTACGCCTAGTGTCACACACTTGGACTTCCCTTTCCTTTTGATGTCGCACACTGTATGTTTTATATGATCGCAAGCACGTACTTAATCAGATGATGCTGCCAAACCAATCAACTTGTTTATCGCAATTAAATATTGCATCGTGGTTTCAAAGCTGTTCTATGATGACGAGTAACGCTAACCTCAGCATCTATTTATATTTTATTTCAAATTATATACAGTAGTATTAGATGATGATACCAAAATTACATTGATCAATTGTACGAAGTGTCCTCGTATTATTAAAAGGCAACAGCAACATCAGTCTCGTTGCTTATTATGGAAGTGTGTGTTTGTTGTTTGTTTATCTTTATTTCCTTCTTTCAAGAAGATGTTTTAGTTTACAAACAATTATTTACAAAATTAGTTATATTTACTTGCTTTACCAAATGTATAATTTGCCACTAAAATAACTATTTCTTCATGTATATTTCCAGGAAACTGATTATCAGTATTTGAACCAGAGTGTTTCAAAGAGAACTTCGATCTTCATCAGAATGAGCTTACATCTAATACGTTCGTAATAATATCAAACATACACTCATGTTTTGTGACACGATATTCACCTTGACATAACGTACATGCATATTAGTTTTTGGATGATATCCAGTCAACGATAGTTGAAGAAGTCTTGATTGATAATGGTCACAACTAAGTTGGGTATTAATCATAATGAAAATACGGTCCTATTATTGTGTTTGGATATTAGCAAACATTCTCAGAAAAAACCATGAGCCTGATTTTAATACAGTTAACTTGCTGAATTGGATGTTTCATTTAATGCAAACTTTCATAAATCCTTTGGGATTTTTAGACCCTGGTTGATATTCGTTCTTAGGGACTTGTGAAATTATGTTTTGGAAGGATTTTGGTAATATTCATATTTGCCAAATCGAGACCCATTTCTTTTGATGAACTGCACATTTCCTCTATATCATGAAGTCATCAAGTGCTAATTATATGAGCTCATATCACCTTCGTGTGATTAATCCAGTAATTAACGTTTTGATTTTGTAACATGACGTAACATGATTATGTATAAGTGTTATTTGATTAATTAAATCATTCTTTGCAAAACTGGCACAAACTCGAACAGAATTTGCGTCGTGCATGAACTGGTGATTCAAACATGTAACAGCTGTTTGTAGGGTGATTAAAAAGACGTCACAGTTTTGTAATTAAGCAACTTATTAATGTTTTTAAGTGATGCGTGTTTTTCAGGATTGTGTATCTGTAGTTAGTTCATCGGTAATATAGTGACTACACACCTACAGTGATTGACTTCAGGGCTCCTTGTGTTATAGAACTAGACGCTGATATAGATACATAGGGTCATACGTCACCAGAGAAAGCAAACCGAAAGGCTAGGATGGAACGACTTCCTCTTTATCTATTGGGGTTTGCTTTGTGTTTTGTCAGCTCCAGAAGTCTAGGAATTTACAATCTTGGTGAGGAGGTTCTTGTCAACGGAAACATGCAGTATGACAACTGGGATTCTGAGTACCACTGGTTTGGACAACAAGCTACTTTGGTACAAGTCCCAGGTCTTGTTGGGAATGCTGCAGCTGTCACGAAAAAGTAAGCAAATTTGGTTTCATATTAACTTTTCATTTCTCCTCAATTGCTGATTAGTCAATTTCGATTGCAGTGATCGGACTATAGTTTCGGTCCGTGAAGAAACAATGAGGTCGACCATTTTAAACAAATTCGTCATTAGCACAATAACCAATGTTTCAGGAAAAAGGTTCATGGACAAATTACTCAAATTTTGAGGGAAGGTTTGGAGCCTGGTTACTATTACATGGAGGGTTACATCAAACTCCTGAACCATCCCGAAGGCGCGGAATCGTTCCATATGGACATGAGGTATCGTTACCTTGACGCAGGTGAGACCATCTAATGAAGAAATGAACCGAGAAGATCATAATCAAGAATATCACCGTCAACCATTTTATGAAAACGCGTACCATATACGTTCTGGGAAATGCCAAGGCCACTTAATTAATGAAAGGAAATGATAATCTATTAAATATGTTCTCTGAAAGAATCCTTAATTATTCTGCATTGTAACTGGATACCTCCATTGTTATATTGTTTTTAAACATGTAATCAGATGTTATAGTCATTCCCTCACAAAGTATTTCCTGGTTTTGATCATTGAAAAATTTATTTCAACATTTTCGCCACTTCCACCCGCACTTTCAGGACAATGTTTTCCACTCAGAACTTTGATTGAACTATCATAGCCGGATATGGGGGTATTTGATCAGGCACATCGAATTATGCACTCTCCAACATACAGTACAGCATACTATTTAGACAAAAGGCATATGGTTTAGTTAACTCTTTTTTAGATTCTAACCTCAAATTTGTGAGGATAGCAGATATTACTGGACTAAGAGATACTGATGGCTGGGTGAAAATTGCCGGCGAATTCCTGCTCCCGGCAAATTGTAAGATAATAGCATATAATATAAATTCTACTCCTGTCATTAACTCCTTCATCTTGGTACTACATGACAAGAAATGAGAATGGAATATGTCTATCATTTGTTTTGTATTTGTTAACCGCGTAAACATGCATGTGATGCACTTAACACTGTCGAACTGCATTAGATTCATTATATACATGTGAATGTTTTTATGACGTATACACAGTCAGGAGTCGGCATATACAAGGCAGCTCCAACACAATACCGCTAAGAACCCTGCTTTTATCAATATTTTCCAAATAATCGAGTCGATTCATCATCATTTACAAAGTTATTCTATGCAAACGGGTTGATAGGATCTGGTTCTGATAATATCAATCGCAGAAATCAATCGCAGAAATTTTGAAAGTATTTGAACAAGTCCAGTAGCATGTTAGGCGGAAACTTTATTTCACTAAAGCGTTGATGCTTCTTTCAATCGATATCACTGATTTGCGCATAATGTTCTTTATCTGTTCTTCTTAAGGCTCTGGACACAGGGTGTTCTTTCTAAGTATAAAGAGTATTGATCTAAATTTTGCGGTTGACGAGGTCAGTTTGAAACGGGTAATCCCCGAAGATGATTGGGAAGGTGCCGCCAATGAAATGATCGATGAATACAGGAAAGGAGAGGTGAATGTGAAGTAAGTCACAATAATTCGAAATAATTTGAAAATGAATTATGTATACACTCCCTTTAAATGTTTGATAATTTGCCCCATTTCAAACCACATGTTAGCGTTTACGCCAAGGCTAAATGTTGAAGTCACCGGCAAAGCCTCTTCTTTATAAGACTAAGGCTCGTTTTGGTTACAACATGTTCATAATTTATTTCCTCATTTCCATGAAAAAGATGCTGGATTTTGTCTGTCCCACATCATTTCAGACCGATCGATTGCTTCGATCGATCTTTGTATGGTGACTAGCATTTTTGATTTTGTCTTGATGACATTTTTTCTTCATTCCCTTTTCTTTATGGGGTCTGTTGATTTCACTAGTGTCTTAACCACACTAACAACAAATACAAGTAGTAGTAATGAGAATAGGTACCCCTGGCCAGTGTCCGTGTTCCTACAAAATTAGAGATTGGGGAACTAAAAATGTATCGCACAAAGAGTATATATGACACCTGCCTCCATAAACCAATCTCGAATCAGCATCCAAAATCTCAAGACAAGACCATTTCATCCGATTAATACTGTCCACAAATAATCATCTGAGAGTTTAAGCTTGTATATAAAATCGAAACGGCAACGTATACGTATACATCGCCCATATACAAATACACGTAGCTTCCTTACTTAAATAGTCGTTCGGGCGTGTTTGTTTAGACTACACTGCAGTATGTAATATGCATCATGTGATACGCCATTGGTAGTTCTAAAGCTGGTTTTCTGATGCATATTTTATTCAAGCTCTTTTAGTAAGATAGTCGGAGCTAAAACATGCTTGACATACGTCCATCTTCTTCAAAAAGAATTCTACTTTGTATCGAAATCAAAATTACCAGCATAGTATAGCAATAGACACGAGTATAATGATTCCCGTTGAAACACACGTAAACTTTGGAATTTTGTGTTCGCTATACATTACTATTATAATATTGATTCATTTACTTTCCGTTCACGGTTACATTGTGAAAACATTGCAAGCTTAAACTCTCCAATATCAGCATCCGAAATCTCAAGACGGGACCATTTCACTGTCCACAAATAATCATCTTTCTACTTTCAGTGTGAATATTAACTACAATATAGACCCGAGCTATATCACATTCGGGGTGAGTGATCATTTATTGATGTCATCCAGTTCGTTCGATAACACTATAGTTTAATTTGAAGTCAAAATTAGACCGTTGTTTATCTATTCTCTTCTTCATTGAACCCTAAAACTAAACATGTCATTTTTGAAAAATTGGCAAACCGTTTCCTAGAACGTTGCATTGACAGTTTTCTACCTACAAGTTAAAGAACGTGTGTTGCTTTTCAAGGTAAGACAGCTGAGCCACGATTTCCAGCTCGGGGCACATGTTTGGTCTCAACTTATCAATGGAAACTGGAAAACAGAGGAGATCAGAGCAGGCTATCAGGAATTTTTCTTTGATAACTTCAACTCTGGGACGCCGACTAGTAGGTTTAAATGGCACGTCGTCGAGAAAGAAGAGGTATGTTTGCAGAATAGATAGTTCAGGTATACAGGGTGTTCCAAAAGTAACAGGACTGGCACTGGCATTTTGTCAATTTTGCACTGAGTGTCTTCAAATTTACACAAATTGTACTTTGAAGTACTGCAACTAAAATTGTGAAGTTTCAGAAAAAATGATGAAATGCGGTTAGAGTTATGGTTACTATAGTAACATGACATCCCAATACCCGGGGCAACTTTTTTCCTGAAAATCTGATATCTAACATTTTTGTATTCCTGAAAAAAGTATCTAATTCACCTATCATAATATAACATTTCTTGTTTATTTTATTAGTTGCTTTGTTGTAAAATGTTACTATACAACTCAGATTCAAGTATAATTTCATAATAATAATATTTATTCAATATCCTGGAATATCACTATGTATAACAGTCTGAACAATTCACAGTTGAGTTTTTGAAAAGACGCAATTTGAAGCCAATCATACACCTTGATAGCGCGCCTGCCCGCAGGTCCCCATTAAAGACCATGATGCAGCTATAGAGGAGCTAGTCTTGAGGTCTAAAACCATGCATCATATTCTTCTGATCATGCAATATCTAATTTTTACTTATATTGAGAACGGAATGCTAATCAGTGCTGTAAGACCTTTAAAGATGAGAATGACCTTCTCCAAATTGTCCAATCGACCCTGTGTGACATGTCCTCAAATGGGTTCACTCATGTGTTTGGGTCATGGATACAGAGTAATACTCTTGTACTGACCAAAGAGGAGCCTTTTTTCAAAGTAGAGGATACATCAAATAATGAAGAATATCAAATGATGTAAAACAAATGCAATTCTTACCAGTTGTTGCATTTCAACTTTGACATGGCATGTACAAAATGATGTGAGATGTACAAAATGCTTAATGTCTCTGTAACTTTTTGCGTGGACTGTTGCCCCGGGTATTGTGATGTCATGTTACTATAGCAACCATAACTCTACCTGAGTTTCACATATTTTGTCAAAACTTTGCAGCCTTAGTTAGGATACATGAAAGTACATTATGTAATATTTTGAAGACAATTGGTGCATATTTAACGAAATGCCAGCACCAGTCCTGTTACTTTTGGAACACCCTGTACAGTGTTGAACAGATTTGAAACTGTACAGGTGAACATAATTTACAATTGTTAAACATGAGGATTTTAGACATATTTTCAACCGATATTTTTGTTCATATTCCGAACGTTAAATTGTTTTACTCCAAGTGCACCTGATAATCAGTTTTAACTATATCAAATGATATCCAAATAGTATAAAGTATTGTTAAATATTGTTTCTGTTTTAGGGTGTTCTTAATTTGGATCAGCTCGACAAAGGCGTGACTAAACTTATTGAGCGGGGGTACGTTTAACTATATATACTTTAAGGTATATGTGACCAGCAAATTGATAGAGGGGGAAGACCAAAATATTAATTTTAACTTTACAACCAGTTATGAATAAACAAGACCCCGGAGTGTCCAAAAAACACCCCATCCCCTACCATGTCATGTATTAGCTATAGGAAGGTTGGAACTCAATCAGAATGCCTAGGAGACTTGGACTCGCCTTGAGTATGGTCACATTAGATACGGGCACTGTATGGTACCGGCAAACAGTTTGCCTGATCGAAAATCGATGAATAGAGTTAAAGGTTCTGTATCTATTGTAGTTTGAAAGTTGTCGGCTCGGAGGTTTTCTGGGACCAAAATAAATTCGGTTGGCCAGAATGGTTTAACGATAAGACATCAACAGAGAGAGTGCAATTGATGAAAAAGCGTGTTGATGACATGGTTACACCTTATAATGGAAAGTAAGTGCAATATAATTCAATACAGTTGTTCGCTTATTATGAGGTGCGCATGCCAGTCAGTTGAGAGTTTCAGCTAGCGATATTATTCACAATGCAACCGTGAACGCAAAGCCAATGAATTTATACAGTGATACATGAGCCTGGCCATAGGAAAACCGGTCTTATCACAAAAATTAGAATTGTGCCACAGAGCCAAAAATGTGCCCAAGATTAAGAGGAAAATGTGCTAAATTCCAATCCGACTTTTTGGTCTATATATGCAAGGAAAAATAGTTAAGACATAAGCCATGGCTCATTTGAAAGGTCTCTGTACTGTGCTTTCTAAGATAAACAAAAAATCAGAATATTTAAAAAATCTGTGATAAGACCCCTTTTCCTGTGGCCTGGCTCATATATAGCGCGCATACAAAACAAGTGCTACTTAGTCTACTTCAGATACCCGATCAGTTTCAGATCTGTGTTTAGAACGGGAGATTTGCAATTTCACGTTGGTGGCAACGGAAATCATTAAACTCATGTCCTTTGAATACTATCCTGGCAATTTTGATTTCGATGCATAGTATAATGCTTTCTGAAGAAAATGGTGTATGTTATACATGTTTTAGCTCCAAATATCTTACGAAACGAGCATTGTTTAAAATATGTGTCATAGAAAACCAACTGTATATATCAATGGCATAGTACACGATGATGTGTAGTCTAAGTAACGGACTAAGTCTAAGTAATCACTGTGACAGAACGATTGTTTTATGTGAGAAAACTACATGCATTTGTATAGGGCGATTTATACGTATAGGTTTCCTGTTCAATTTTATGTGCATTGCTTAAAGTCTCAAATGTGTTGATAAAACGTTTGCAGTTATTACTCGTACCTAATCATTTTTAAAGTACTGGAATTAATTGGGAAAATTGAATGAATAGATTTGATCTGAAATTGATTCGAATTTTCAACATGCGTTTTTATTTTTCCATAACGTTGGTATCTATATCCAAAGCATGACCAAAACGTACCTAGATTTGATTCTAATAGCGTTTACTTTTCGGTTGCAGGATTGATACATACATTGTCAGTAGAGACAATTTTAAGTTCAAGTTTCAAAATGCCACGGGAGACGATGAGATCGTTGATAAGATGTTTAATTGGGTGGAATCAGCTGGAGATGGGTATGGAGCTAATCTAGTTTTGAGCGAGATCAACGCATTACGAATGTCAAGTGGTACCTCGGTTAGTAAGAAGTGTATTTGAGATGCAAATAGTCAAAAATTGGTTATCTATTTTGTATTTAAATACAATTAATATTACAAAGACTACACAATGACATGTAAAGCTTAATGATCTTTGGGTATGAGTACCACGATTGAACACGAAATGAGAAAAAAATCGACGAATACTTGTTACCCTGCGCGCAGAGTCTAGTTAAACTACACTCTGCCTAGTAGAGACCATATTACAGTTTAGTAACCCCGCCCCCACGACGGGTACTGGTGACTGTTTGGGTAAATCACTTTTGACCTACTCGCTGACCTCCTACCAATCAGCGAGCTTGAAGAAACATACGCCAAATGTGTTCTAATTAAATATGCGCATGTCATTGGTCAATTTCGGGCTCAACGATGACGTCAGAAGGAATGACCATATAAAGAACTTCGGTCAAATTTGGCCGACGAACACTGATTGGCGCGGTGAGTTCACAGGTTTATTTTAGTTTGAAAGAGTGAAGACGAAGCTCTGTTTTACGAAATGAAGTCAAACGAATGCAAAGGGTAAATACTTGTATGTAATGGCTCTCGTTACCAACTATGAAACACTATGTTATGATGGATGATACATGATAATGTCGTATTAAATCCTTGACATAAAACGTATTCTACTTCTAGGCATTTGCTCACAGAGCCAATACACTAAAGTCTAAAGGTCACGCGATTCAGATTGGTGCCCAAGGAACATTTGACAAACAATTTGCTGTAGATCCTATACGACTTATGGTACGTGATAATTGTATTTACTGAACAACGGATAATACTGATGGTGTAGGAAATGATGTCAAGATGCTAATTGTCCCATTCTTTATTTTCCACTGTTTTATCTATATACAATCGTCTATGGTATGTCAGCAAGTACATCTTCTGTACTCCCTGGGAATCATCAGAGTGTTATTTAAAGCGGGTTCATTATGCCATTTGTAGGGTTGTGTCACAGATTCACATTAAAAAACACGATGTCCATACGGCAAATATCACCAAAGGCTCTATCTCAAAACAAAGTATATTTTCTTTGTAGGCTCGTTTTGATATACTTGCTCAAACCGAACTACCTATTGTTGTCACCCGGCTCGCAATGTCACGTGAAGATATTTTGAAGCGTGCACAAGATCTTGAAACGTTCCTAAGAGTTGCATTTGCACATCCTGATGTAGAAGGGATCACTTTGGATGGATTCTGGGATGGTGTGAGTGGAAGACCAAACAGCAGTCTTGTAGATACAGATGATTTTGTGGTAAGCGAATCCCGGGAAGCAAATGTGCTACCCTTTAATTCATTACCGATACGATTTTAAAAGCGTATTCATGAAAGTTATTTACCCGTGTTACTTAAACTTCAGATTAACAAGGCTGGGTGGACATTACAAAGATTGTTCAAAAAGGAATGGAGGTCTGACGGTTTTCTGACCCTACCTGAGAAATATTTAGCGCAACAGACAGCCAGTTTCCGTGCATTCTATGGTGACTATGAAATGGACGTAATGGTTGATGGTGAAGTCGTTGATACTCGCACATTCAGTGTCCACAAGGGAGTCAATACTGTTATCAATGTCGATATTGATGAACCGTCAAGATAGAGTAATACTAATGTGAACTGCTGAATGTAATTTAACAATAACCACGAACTCTTTGATTTAAACACAAAATATAGTAAACCTGTTTGATTGAAACTGTGAAATAAAAATTAGTTAGTATAGTAAGTTATTGTCGTTAATACCAGATCAAAGTTATTTTCTTTTTGGAATATATTTGAAAAAGATTCGGTGTAGTAAGGTGCACTGATCCTACTCCAGTTTTGGAAATCTACTTTATATTTTCTGACTCGATTCCTAAGTCAAGTATGATATTGAACATATCATGTTACACTGTATCTCAGTATGTTAAAGGCTCTAATATAATGAGTACTGATATGTGTAGTTTCACTTCTATTTGTGCTAGAATATCATATATGGAAAAGATTTAATTCCCATGCCCTCTATCAAACATTCATTGAAGCAAATATATTAACCTACATGTATTCTTTAACGTTGGACCTCACCCGTACATTGAATTATATTAAATGGCTAAACGGCCTTACAGAGGGGGAATAACCCTAGAGTTCAAAGATGACATACGCTTATAATGTAAACGTGTATTGAGATGAAATACATCTCTGACTGGTCAATATCGACAGACAAATGACATCATCAATGTAATGGCGGCTTCGAAATTTGCGAAATACACTTCGAATAATATTATGTTATATTGGCGCCAATACAATAGCTTGAAGTTCTTATTTCACATCAAGATAAAAAAGTGTACAGAATCTGCTTACATTGTCTACATCAATTTGTCAATTTGTCATCCTTAAAGCTCTGTGACTTTTCCTCCTCTGACGAACATCTACATGTATTCATCTGCCATTCATAAGCTGATTAAACCACACTTTCTTGAGTTCGTCCCTCCCAGCTTCTGAATGATTCATTCGTTCATTCATTCAAATATTTTATGCTTCATGATGGGCATGGGGCTGGTAATTTCTCGAAAACTGTTGAATTTATCAATGGCAACAGCCAAACATCATCTTTAATTTTTGATTTATCAACGTTTGGAAAATATGAAATGATTTCATTCCAGTTATTATTCAACACCCAAATATCTCCCCGTTTTTCCTTTACACACGTATGCCAAACAAATATTTCTGGGAGTCGCTCAAAAAAGCAAGTTCGTCTGCAAAATAGTAGTCCAGGAACGCCAATGACATTGAGCCCGGATGCACGCCCTTCGATAAGTTCTCGGCCTAACATCATTTCTTCATTCTCGCGGATGATTTGATCTTTTGACATGTTTGTGTACGTCAACCACAGTGGATGGAAATTCCAATGTACCCCAAGGCAAACTAGAACTTCATTAACAAGCTTTTGATCGTTGATGTTGATGTTAGTTTGTTCTTCGGAGAACGCTGACAAGATGCCCCAAAATGAACCTGAAAAATATATACAACACTGTAATAAAATTAGAGCGCTCGAATGTTAATTTCTTTAATGCCTGTGGGAGATGCATTTTCAGAATGACTGTCATTAATTTGATTATAAGAGTGTTATAGTTAAAATATAGTTAAAATGTGTGTATAACAGGAATTCATTTCATTAGCTTACTTGAATTCAACGAAGCTCTTAGTAGGACAGTGCCCATATTCAAAGTTTTCAGCTTCCAATACGCTTGCACATGTGCGGGATAAAATCCAGATTGTCCAGCCATTATGTCAGCATCCGGGAATTTATCAAAAAGCAGCTCCGGATTACGTATAGCCAAAGCATCGGTGTCAAAACTTATCACGTCATACCCAAGATAGTTACATATTCTCCAAATGAGGAGTCGGACCATCCACATTAAGGACTTTTTGCTGAAGCCCTTGTTTAGAGTGGTGGGTTCCACAATATCTGAGGGGGGCACTACAATACAGAAAATATTGAAACCCTTGGTCGATATAATTTTACATATAGTATGATCTAAAGAATACACTAGGATATGCTCGATAGGGGGCACTGTGTATTTCTTAGATATCACTATCCAGTTCAGTAACGAGGGGATATAATCGACAGAGATTCCTAGAGTGTTAATCCTTGTTGAAGGTAACACTTGTAATATAGTTTTCAAATCTCTATAAAATTGCATCTGTTTCAGCTCATCTAAGGACTTTATAAACTGTCTCAGTGGTATATGGCACTTATGTTTGTCTGTTTCTAAAGCACTCAACGTCTCCGCACATATACTTCTCCGCTTACTACAGATCATTTCCGTTGCTTTCCTCTCATAGTCTCTCGCTTTGCTATACGTATTGTTGACATCATTTAACCATTTTGTAGGGTCTTTGCCATCGTTGATCAACAATGCCCTTACTGATTGGTTAAATCCCGTGAGAATAGAAGTGATTTCATCACGATCGTGAAAAGTTATATCTGTGCCATCTCTAGCATAATACGGACAACCTTTTTCATCTAAAGGCTGATCTTCGTTCCTCCACAAATGGACTAATTGGAAACGACCTCCGATTAAACATCTGTTATTTTTCAGTTTTTGATCACCATATCTTGATCGCCAATTAATATTTGTTGATTGCGGATAATAGGATTGAAAATAGTAAAACAAATATACCATGTATGTTATAATTAAAGAAGAGATATATACGAATATACGACTATGTATCTTTAACATCTTGTAAATACATCTGGTCATTTAGATGATGTCAATCTAACGAAAGCCCTTCAGCAAAAAATAATGGTGAAACTTGACTGATTTATTCAAATTGCCGGTCAGTCTGATTGCCTAGCTAGTAATCTTTAGGGGTCATCATGCTACACATTCAAGTTGTCGTAAAGAGACGGGTAGCTCATTCTCCCTATTGTTTTTCTTCTGGATTTGTGAATACCATAAAGCTAGTACTCGGGCTTGTGCACTCGTTTTAAACCCATACACAGTAACCGCGTGCGTTAAATTAGCCACAAGTCATTAATGCCTGTGCTTAATTATCTACATAGTCAGGGTACTGATAGTATCATCTACCTGGTCAAGCCATTAACCAAGATGTCATAGTCGGAATAGGAATTTAATTGATGCTCATGTTTTATGATGGTCTCAGATCACATACAGAACTACACGTACGTCCTCTGGTACAAAAGGGTACCTACACATCCTTCATGGAAATAAAGATATATCAAAATACACTACATGTTTTGTTTTTCAAATCTTCAGAGTTGATACATAATTGAATGATGTATCACTGGTAAGAAAATCGATGGGATTGGTCTATAGCATTTGTGTAAAAAGCGTCCATTACTTATTGATCACCCCTCGTATGTCATGTGCTCTATATCCAGCGTGAGTCTTTGACCTCGATCTGAATATAAATTAATGGAGGGATTGTACTATACTGTACTTATTGTTCACAATTTTAAATTGTTGATGATAGACTATCTACAGTACTTATATATTAGACTTTAAAGTGAGAAATCTACGATATCCTTCAGTCAGTGATATGAGTTGACATTATCCTGGTATCAAGGTAAGATCTTGACAATGATAGTTCTTATATTTTGATAAAACTAGCATATTCATTCCCTACAGATGAAAAGTAATGCTAAAATATTTACATTTGATTTGAGGAATGGGCCTTTAATCCGTGCTTGCAAGGAAGTACATTTAGTGTTTTAGTATCAGCGAATGTAAAAACATGCTAAGACTGTATTTCTGTTTAATTTTATTTTACGATTCATTAACACTTCAATCATTGTAAATAAAATTAAGTCAAAAGTCTTTAAAGGCCATGGAAAGTCTGAAAATATGTTTTAATTACTAAAATGTTATAATTCATTATCTATATTTTGAACATGTTGATTCTACAAGAAGTTGATAAATATTTATTTTTTAAATATTTGGCTCCTGCCAAATACGTCTACCAAAAAAATATTCACATTTTAGAAATGTTGAGAGAAATGGGTAAAACTAAAAAACAAGCTTGGTTTAAACATTCCAATGGGCCTTTCAAACTTATCATAGTACTAGTAGTAACGACAAACATAACCTATCTAGATCGGACGTGAAGGACCGTTGGATGACCATCTCCACATGAAACATTACCATCACAGCTGTAGATAGTGTATTGGTCGAGATCCACTGAGTACGATACTTTAAGGAAATGAGAATGGGCGTTAATCACGCTCGTAGTGACATCTACTGTGCCTCCATTTTTGAGGATCTCGACATCCTCCGCTGTCAGCTCAACCAAGTGAGTGTGAGGCCCATAGGTGGATACACCAGTCTCGAGAGTGACAGCTTGGAACGGCCCTGGTGTAACCGGATCAATGTTTGCAAAATCTGGCATCTCCCTGTACATGGACTGGTATTTTGTGCTTTCGTGGACTAAGTCACGAATTGCCTCCATTTCTTGGTAAACTGTGTTCCCCTCTTCGTGAATTGGCATAATCGGATAGCGTTGCCTCAAGATGCCGACGCTGGGAATATCAGGAAGAAGTATGTATGTTCCCGATGCAGCTACTTCACGAACATTTCCTCCTTGGTCGAGCACTCCGACTGCGTCTTCCGCGGTATCAGCAGCATCACCTTCGCCCACTGCTCCAGTGAAAAACTCTATTGGGGTCTGATAGTAAAGCCTATGATTCGTGCCGTTAAACGCTGTATCTGTTTCGAATCCCCCATTGCGTCCATTTGCGTCTACGAAACTACTGTCGGGATTATCGGTATCAAATGTGTTACCTTTGTAGACAAGGTTATATGGGTTCCACTTGCTTAGTGGTGTCAACCAGACAATTTCAAGAGGAACAGCAAAGGTCATGCGTGATTTGAGAACACATCTTTCGGCATCATAGTCGGCAGCCTCTTTATCACATGTTTCCAAAGCCATTTCACGAACGTTTGGCTGAGAGGTTTTCGCCATGAATACAGCATCATCAGAATATGCCCTGCGGAGAATGCTGCGACCCATTGCATCAACAGAATCTGTGCTGAAAAATCTATGATAATATGCAGCGTTCAGTGGTTCTTTTGTCTCAATATCAACAATGGTTTCACCGTCTACAGTTTTATCTGTCAGAAAACCAGCATAGTTATCTTTTCCAGGTATTTCGGTCATTATTTCATCGAGCAATGTAGGGGCAGATTGTGGGTTTTTGTAGTATGTAGAGGTATCTCGAGTATTCAATCTGTACCTTGCGTTCCTTGTGTGCTCAAATTGATCGATTGGTGAGTTTCTCCTCATTCGGAACATAAAGTCATCAACAAGTCGAAATCTGTCTAATGGTATATCTCTCTGAACTGGATGACACAGGATGCGATAGTTCCACTGGGCAAATTCTGGTTTACTTGCATTATTTACTCCTATGATGGAGACAGGAAGGAATGCCAGGTTTTCTAGTCTTGATTTGGAGCCACTGTATGACGTAAACCTGTAGAAAAATACGAAATACCAATGCACTAAAAATTATCGAGATGCCACAAAATGAAAACATTGAAATTCAAATCAGGTGACCAGCTAATAGCGCCGCCATTTCATTTTTAATTTTCGGGTTGTTTTCATGTTTTTATCACCCTTTGAAAGAACCTATTTCCCATTACTCTGAACGGTGGAAATATAAAATTAATAAGATAACACACAAAACAAACCCTAAAATCCAATAAACATTCATTTGAAACTCCCCGAATCATAACCAATGTGTTAAAATTGATAAAAATGTGTATGATTAAATTATCATCCCCTTTCCTCACAGACAATGTACCACCGACAAAAATTTCAGGTGCATCAGTTCAAAAGACGGCTCATTTCAGTTATAAAGATACGTTAAAGTATCTGTATGTGTTATGCATACCTTATCTTTTCTTGGAGGTCAAACATACTAGTAGCATCTAGGAAATGTCTGTCGCTAAAGAATGACTCAATGCTCTCCTTGGGATCCAACCAGGCGCCTTCTAAGTAGCAGAGGGCGGGTTTGAAATGCCTCGTATAGTTCCGAACACTGGCATCACCGTCCCTCCACGCCTTGAACCATTCACGCATCTCTAAGATTTGCCCATCAACTGTAGGTTGGTCTAAGACAGCTTGAGGAACATCAGGGAAAGGCACCTCCTGTACTATGTGGAATTCTGTGCTTGTTTCGCTTGGCATATTAAGCCTGTAGTCGTTGTGTCGAGTACGGAATTCAACGCCATTGAGAACTGCTGTAAATTCTCCAAGTCCACACGTGCGGTCGTTATTATTGTGTTGATGCATTGATGCAACGCCAACTCCTCCATATGACCTCTTATGGTACGATTTGAAGCCAGATTCAAAATTCCTCACCTGAAATACAAATGTACACTTGCAGAGATCATGTTTTAATTCTTCCTCATTACATTCCTTGTCATACCCTTTTTTCTAAAATGTCCAACGATTTAGTTCGTAAAAATGTCCAGATCTCGATCGTTTTAGGTTAAGTGGACTAAATGAGAAATGGATCTATCTATTTCATCTATCTACTTAGGCACACGTCCAAAAGGGAATGGACCAAAAGGTATTGAAAAGCAAGAAATGGAACATCAAAGATTAAGACCAGTCATAAGGAAACAAGCCCAGATATCAAGAAATGGTCAAAATTGTATTGTAATTGTATTGTATCTTACTGTTATATTTGGCGAGCAATACCTCATTGGTATATTCCGTATTTGACGTATTTTACACTCGAAGAGTGCGAAGAGTGTAAGCCAGACACCCCTCCTTGGAGGACCCCTGTGTTATTTTGTGTGCACGGGTACATATACATACCGGTTTACACCACAGGCTTTTATACGAGTGTGAACCACTCAGTCAAACACCCAGAATTACATTACGCACAAACAATCTTGTCTGAACCGGTGATCGAACCCGGGGCCAAGCGATAGTGGTAACCTTGACTCTGCCAATGAGCAATAGCGAACCCCTTCCACAACATTAACGATTCAGGAACAATTGTCACAATCCAATTGTGAAATTTTTTATACTGAAGACCGTTACAATGTTGAAGAATAAACTACTCTTGAACATAACAAATGTTGGACACAGAGCTAGACATAATTCAGATTCGATGTCCATTAGACAGTCAAGCCAAGTAAGTAAGTCAACATTCGAAAATAAAAATCTCAAAAATCGTACATCTTTGATTTCCAAAATAATTTGTGAGGTGGTTATTAAGACGATAATGCACATTTTAACGTATTGATTTTGAGTACATCTGGAATCCATTCTCAGCAAAGCGTTCTCAAAATATGTATTCAAAATATTTGAGTTCGGGATGATTAAAGTACGTTAAGATATATCGCTCCTTAACAAACTCCTTTGGGATCAAAATATAGAATCAAATGCATATTCTTCTTGTTTACTCGCTGACACATGCCAACGAATGTTACATAAGTAAATATCTCCGTTTTGAATAATTTTGTAAACGTTGTTCTCTACAGGTGCCATTTTTATAATTGAAAAACAAAATTGAACATTTTGCATTTCTAAATGGATACGTTTCTTGTGATACAACTTAACTGTTAACGATTTGAGTCATTAATAATATTTCCTTAAGTGATCCCATGCTAAATAGATAGTAATTAGGTAATTGTTTTGTGTTCAACCTTGTTTTCATGAATTTTAAACATGAGTCGACAATTATGTAGAATATTTCAATTCCAAATGTAAGCGTGTCAACTCCTGTTTTTGCACAAAATTTAGCCTTTTAGAATGATCGATCGCCAAAATCTGCATGTACCTCTCAATGAGGCGACACGTTTTTAAATTTATAGATGCTGGGCTATAAACTCAAACAAAAATTCAAACCACCCGCTATTATTTTGATTACACAAGACGAAATTTCTACCCCCGGGGAGCACTGTGGTAACACTTTGAAGGAGGATTCTTGAAAAATCGTTCAAATTTTCACAAAAGGTTTCACGCAAGTTTATTGCTTTGTTTAAGCCTCGACTATTATCATACTCAAATCCGATACCATAATTATGCGTTAAAATGTAACATTAAACTCACCAGGTTATTTGATAAACCGTTTCGAGAATTGATGATTTGAGTTAACTGTGGATATTTATATAAATGTAAGTCGGCATGCATTTGACAGTTAATGTACACACATGATGTATGCATCAACGTGTGACTTAAATATCAATTCGTGACTATCATATTTGGCTTTCAAAAATTAAGTTGGAAGTTACAGTGGTTGGAGATTAACAAAAACGTCAATCATATCCAAATATCCGAACGACGTCAAGTATTAACAATACACTTTTCGTGCATCTCGAAAGAGGCAATGTTCTGTGATCCAGCAATGTGCATTCCGAAAGAAAAAATTCACAAATATCAACAAATTTCATTGAGTTGGATATTACATTCGAAATCACAACTTTCGAAATATTTGTTTTAACCAAGAATTGTAAGAACTTAAAACATGTTGTTAGTTTTTCAAACCGCACATCCTCATTTACGTTCTTTGACAAGGATGAATTCATTTGAAAACATGGATTTTCTTGATTATTCTTCAAAACTATCCTTGAAATATAAGTATGTGGGATATTACAGTGTAAATTGACACGCATTTGTTTGCTCCATATCATGAAAAAATAGATGCAGTACCATCTTTCAATATTTGAAAACAGAAAGTTCATTCTGTATGTAAACAAGAAAAAATTCATAATGGTTGATTCATAATGAAAAATGACCAATAACATACATCTTTTGAAGTATATACAGGGACATAGTGGAAATTCAGAAATTTAGGCCATATCCCCAAGATTGCTTCACCAATATGTAACAGAACATCAAATTTATCATTTACACGTTTGCTGATAGGTTTATTGAAAATAATTAAACAGAGGTTTACTTCAATTTTGGCACCATTCTTAGTTAATATTGATGAACATACGAATATCGAATGTTGACTAAGTTACTTGGCTTGACCGTAGAGCATCGAAAGGCAAGTCTTCATGCGTAAAGCTGCCATAGTCCATAACATAATTAAAACAAGAAACCGAGAGAAAACTATGGTTGGTATACATCATTATTAATGTCAATATGCAAATGTGAAAAATTCAAAACATCAAAATTGAAATCATCTCATGAATTGTACAACTTATAAATACTTTTTTAATCCACCCGTATAGCTCAGCGGTAGCGCATGCACCTCTTACGCAATAGGTCGCAATCGGTCCCCGGTTCAGGCAAGACTAAAGGAGAACCCCCGATAAGGAGAGCTTTTTAGAAGGACATTGCTTTTTTATTCTGGAGTGATCATCATGGAAGTTTAACACTACACCAGAGATGATCTTAGATATTCCCAAAAACAACTTGTGTGATAAAAAAATTACTTTTTAAGAACATTTTTTGCAAGGCAATGAACTCATTTTTTAAGGTTGGACTCTTTATTTGTGGTTAAAATCCGTGTGTGGCCTGATGGGATAGGAAGAAAGTGTCACAGTTGTAAGATACCTATTTATCTGCACTCTTAGAAAATAAAAATAAATCAATGGGCGTTTCCCTAGAAATATGTCTTTTAGACCTTTTCCACTCATGAGAATAACGGAATAATTCGTAAAAAATCTTAAAATATATTTCTGGTGGAGCGCCCATCGATTTCTTTACGAAAACTAAGACTTTGCTTCATTATGTTACTTAGCAACATTCTATTTTGCTCGTACAGTAATGGGAAAGTTATTGATTTTAAGCAAAATGTAACGGTTGAATATGGAAGATTGAATTTTATCGCTTCACAAAAACCGTTCTACAAACGCACGTTTTAATAATTCCAAGAAAATAATTCAGGATGTATAAATTTACCTCATTTCTAAAAGTATGTTAAAATTTCATGATGATCACTTTCAGAATAAAATTGTTGTGTCCTTCTAAAAAGCTCTCCTTAACGGGACTTCTCCTTTGCTTTTTTGCGTCAAGAACTTCAGGGTGTTTGACTGAGTGGTCCGCAATTCGTACAGAAAGGCTGTGGTGTGTACTTGTATGTCTATGTATAAGTGCACATAGTTTCTGGGTGTATCTTCCAGGTTAATTACATAAATTACGACCGTATATATACGAGATGTACCCAAGAGGTATTGCTCACCTTCATTGGTGGTAAACAAAATACAATACAAAACACAATAAAATTAGAACTGCAATAGATACATCGGTGAGTTGGTTGAATGAAATTTGCTTCCAATTCAACATGTTGTAATCTTTGTGGTTTCGATTAGACTAAATTGTCTCATTACCTTCTTTATACCAGACTGGCCTGAACTACGTATGCGTTCTTCTATGAACAGCTGTTGCATAATTAACTGTCGAGATATCACCTCTACTGTTTCTTCTAACTCATTAGTCCTGCCATCTTCTATAAGCGTGTCCAATTTTTCTAGAGTGACAAACACAGTATATCAGGCATATACTTGTATCTGATGATTTAATGCGATATCAGAAATAGTATTAAAAGGAACAAACTTCACATCTAATATTTAAATCATTACCTTCAATCTCATCCAGGCGGCCAGAATCAACAGAAACAGCTCTCCTCATTCTAGAGGGATGAATCTCTACAAAAGCTGCTTGTACAGTTACAGCCATCAACCCAAGCAGGGCAGCACCAAGCAACTTCATATCGGAGTGTTTCCTTAGAATGCTGCTCGTCGGTTTGTTCGTATACGCAAAGTTCTGCAGATGTATCATCGACTGAAGAATCCTTGCAAGACACACGCAACTATAGACTCACCTTATCTGAGAAGCTCTGCACATTTTATGAAAGCTATCAACGTCAACTAATTAAACTGTCAAATCACAATGTTTGTCGTTATTATTTCCTAGCCTTTTCCATATTTGCTTAATACCTATACGAATCGTCAAAACAATACATGTATCGTTTGATAATTTTTCATAAAACTTTGTTAAATTAATAAAAAGGTACCGAGAAAAAAGTTTCTTTATAACTGGCATAACTTTAATATTTCTACAGCTGCCACGGAGCAAACCATCTAGTATTGTTGCCAAAGTGACACTTAATAATAATATCTGTCATAAATGTGTATATTTGACTTGGAAGACATAGTGACATGGAATTGAAATTTGTATACGCAGAAACAATAATGTATAATTCAAAAGTTTTAATTAAAAATAATTCTGAATCATCTATTTATGAAATTGAAACTGATTACAAATTGATCTTTAATAATATCCTGTCTTTGCTCCCTTATTGCTTTTACAAGTATCATTAAGAAACACCAATTAAAAGCTATGTTTGGGTATACCAGTTTTTGTCATTGGAACTTGGAAATGGTTTAGAAATGAGGTGACATCACCTGAATCGAGGGAACTTGTACTCATTATCATTTTAGTACCGATGTTTTAACTAATGCAACATGGCGAGTCCAAGTCTCCACAGTTCTTGCTCTTCGGTTTGTCAATTTCTCAGAAAGAGCCTAATACATTTGGCCATTGCGTTGCATTACCTTTGTGCTTAGTTTTTTCTCTTTCTTAGCTGTTGAAGAAACAACTGTAATACGAGAAATCTTAATAAACCAATTCTAAGTCTTTAGTATCAGATATCTGCCATTTTTGTCATACTGTACGCAGTTTGAAAGACTGACAAACTGCGCGCCCATCAACATTGCATCATACAAGTTGGAGTCTGTATTTGTGATTTTTAAAATTGCACAACGTGCATGACGGAAACATTTACAGTACATGTGCACAGGTAAGTAAGATTTTCGGAATGTCATATTATACATAGTGATTGAAGTCTTAACACTTTTTGAGGGTGTAGCTAATAATGATAATAGTATATTTATTAGACATCTCAGAAATCAAAATATATGTTTTAGAAGGTTGCCACAACACTACAAGAGATATATTTTGGATTGTCATCATTTTTGAGAATATTGCAAAAATATATTTATGTTATGCAATAATCACCTATTTTCATTTAAACTCCCCATATAATGTTTAAATCACTTTGGCTTATATTGTAGCATTACCCAATGTTATGAAAGTGTGATATGTGAAACTTTTTTTAATTTCAAAAAGTGTTTTTTGATAGACTTTTTGTTCCAAAATTTGTGAATTTATTTAAAACTAACTTTTAGAGGTCACGCATCTATTTTAATTAGCCACAATTCATACCAATGCATAAAATTCATCCTTGCATATTTTTGCTGAAAAAATTAAGAAAATCGGTTCATAAATAAGCGAGAAATGAACTCATCAGTGCATGAAAATGGTTCCGAGAAAAATGCATTTCAAAATTTTAGTTCTCATAGAAACCAATGGTACAATGATATCTAAAACATAATATATTCTTCCTTTTAACCTGGTTAGACAATTAACATTGGTTTATTATTGAAGTCTAGCATATCTAGAAAAGATTGACATCGAAAAAAATATTTCAAAAAGTTTTTGCTACCTTAGTGACATCATTAATGGTGAAAAATATTTTTGATATGCTAAAACATTTTTTTCTAAATTTTTTTTTTCAAAAATCTCTAGAATAACTTTTTAAGTCATGACAAATAGTAAATTAATGATAAAAATATATTTTCAAACTGTAGACGGGGACTTGAACTATTTCGGGTAATCGCAAGCCATGACCCCTTGTCTTACTGACAGGTAAATGATGACGTCGAATCTTGAAACTTAATTTCTTCATATCGTTTAATTTCTACGTTTTTATTGGATTTTCTCCCATTTTATTAGCCGTTTTGAAATATAATATGAGCTTCAACCTTCAAGCTTCGTTTGTCACTTTAAAGAATTGATTTGATGTCTCTTGTTTCTTCAAATAATATTTATGATGACAGGTCTTTTTAATATATTTTCATTTAATTGAAATAACTTGTATTGTTTTGAAATTCTAATAAATATGTTTTTAATATTTCAACGTTTCAACTTTAAAGAATTGATTTGATGTCTCTTGTTTTTTCAAATAATATTTATGATGACAGGTCTTTTAATATATTTTCAATTAATTGAAATAACCTGTATTGTTTTGAAATTCTAATTGATATGTTTTTAATATTTCAACGTTTCTTTAACTGAATTCTTTTATTTTCTTTCATTTCCTTAAGTAGTCAGCTAACGAGGGACAATTTGAGAATGTTTTTTTAATAATTTACGTTTACTCTATCTTGATGGGTACAGCTGTAGCTGCAGGCAAATGAGTTTTCTAATAACATGTCACGTGAATTAATGTATGTGTTAGAAAGTGACACATTTGTAATTATTAAGATATTTCAATAAACCGATTGATATTAAATTTTCATTGATGCAATAAATGATTCAATATGTTTCTACAACTAGCTAAACAACTTAAATATAGGAAAACCAATCGGTATTCGCTAGAATACAAAATCATGCTTGAGATGAAGCGAAACGTTTTATGCCTTGCGTTGTGTCTAGCATTGTTATGCATTTGCACCAATGGCCTGGGAATTTACAAACTCGGAGATGAATTAATTGTTAATGGTAACATGGAGTATGACAACTGGGACTCCAATTACCAATGGTACCCACGATTATCCACTTTGACACAAATCCCGGGTGTAGTAGGGCAGGCTGCAGCAATCACGCCATCGTAAGTTATAAGTGCAATACGCTTTTTATCTTTAAAAGGGCAGTACCGTAGCTATGACTTAGGCGAGCTAAATATATTAAATGTTTTTTCGACTGGGACTGTGAAAATTAATTTTTTAGAAGTATAATATCAACCTCGGCTGGAGTTTTGCCTTTTCTAGTATAGTCTTTGCCTCTGGTATCTTTCAAGACTGGCCGACGTTGTCCTTACAAATACAAATAAGTGTAGAATCGAATCACCGTAGAGAGGTATGAAAACGTGAACAAGTTTTATAATGTCAGACATATTTAGATTGCAGTAGCAGTTGCAGGTTTTCACCAGAGCTCAGCGATTATTGCTTCCACAGTTATCAATTAGATTATCGCACATTTTATTGTTATTGTTTCAGTATTGATGAAAATGGTTGGATAGGTCAAAATCTTTATGGAGATAGAGCACTAACGTTTGGAGGCCACTACTACATGGAGGGCTATCTAAAAGTTTTGAATCACCCCGGAGGTCTAGACTGGTTTAACATAGATCTTAGATTTCGTTACATTGACAAAGGTATGTTCAACAGCCTTAAAATAATATCAATAATAGTACTGCTATTGAGTTTTATTACCGCATCGAACAATTTTAATTGTATTGTTGTTCGAAAATGTGATGTCCTACACATCAAGAATTACATTAAATTATTCAGATCCGTAACACTATTTTTTCAGTAAATTGTAAATCACACTTATAACACTTCATTTCACATACTTCATTTCAGATTCAATATATAGATCTTTAACGATTGGGGAATACTTTCGAATCAGAGATTCAGATGGCTGGGTCAAGATTTCTGGAGAATTTACTGTTCCAGATAACTGTAAGATAGCAAAATTATCTTACCTTTTTTATGTAAATTGCAAATTTTAAATTCTAGCACCTATTTTCTTACTTATGAAAACCCCAAATTCTTGGTTTGCTATATACATTCACTTGCCAAAGGAAACGTTTATACTGTATCTTCTATACTTAAAAAATACTACTGCGCTATCAAAATATTAATGTAATATGTTCTTCTTTTTCGCTCCTTTTCATACAAACATATGCTTATCTGTACATTATTCAGGTACCGAACAACGAGTGTTTATCACAGGTGTCGCTAGTCCAAATCTACAGTTTGCCGTTGACGAGTTTAGTTTGAAGCAAATAATTCCCGATGAGGATTGGGAAGCAGCCGCCAATGAAATGATCGATGAATATAGGAAAGGACAGGTGAATGTTAAGTACGTTGTGATGATTTATGCTTTTACTTTCATAATACCAATCATTGTTGCTACTAGTAGATACAATTTTCATTGCGACATTATACGTATTAATTTTTATCCAAAAAAGGGTATGTCCGTTTTGCTGTTTACATCGTGTCCTGAAGGCAACAATGTATGTAATGATAATGGTAATGTGTGTCGTATCTATGGGATATTGTATAATTGCAAATAAAGTGCTATCCTTTTCTTCCAGTGTGAATATCACTTACAATTTAGACCCAAGCTATGTTACATTCGGGGTAAGTGATCAATGTTAGATGATTTCTTAGTTGTTTATGTGTATTGTTCGACAACAATTATCATAGTTGAGCGGAGGGGAACCTGTTTAAAAAATGATACTAAACTCCTTTTTTACATTATCGAGAGTCGGTGTGAAAACGTCTTAAGATAAAATGAGTTTGTATGCACATCAGAAAAAGGTATGTTAGATGCGATTGACAGGGTGTAATAGAACTATAATCACGAGGGAAATTAGAAACTTATAAAAAAGTTTATTTGAAAGAAACTAATAAAATGAAATAATGTGCTTTTCTTTGTTATATAATATTTATAATATTAATATTATATACATTTAGCTGTTAGTATGACAATAATGTTGTTTTGACGTTTTCAAAATTTATTATCGGAATTATTGTATGTACTACATATATGAAATAAATGATTAAAAAAGAAACTTGAGAATCAAAATTAGTGAGAAAATATTGAAAATTCCAATACACTCTGAAACTGAAGAGGTAAAGAGGACGATATGGAAAATAGGCAAGGTGTTCGGAAAATGTGGGTGAGAAAAGTTGTAAAAAGCAATGAGTCAAAATTTTGGACCTTTATTGGAATATTATTTACAAAGATGACGTTAGAATGATGGGGTAGGGGAAAAGCTAATGATATGAACGAATTTGCAAAATAGAGAAAATGAAATGAACAGATCGAGAACAATTAAGTTGACGGAGAATAAATTCCGTCACGCTCATTGTTTCTTTTTCTAGATTAGACAGCTGAGCCACGATTTCAAACTTGGAGCACATATTACTTCTCAAGTATTCAACGGGACGTGGGTAACTGCGGAAGTTAGTGAAGCTTATCGGAATTATTTCCACGATAACTTCAACTCTGCGACACCAAACTTTAGGTTCAGATGGAATCAAGTCGAAAAATTGGAGGTATGTCCATTGGAAATGCGCTATTTTGTCAAATAACAGCTCATCAAAATAGAAAGATTGATACCGTTAATTGAACTTCTACGACCGTTAATATACGTTGTATTGTATTCATCACTTATATATTTCCAGTTGGCATTGACGTATTATTCTCTTATTTTCTCTGGTTTGTCCAACTTATAAGCAATATCACTTACATGACGTTATATAAAGGCCGATCCAGAAGTTCTGACAAAAAATATTTTTCTTAAATGCAGAATCTGATCTATAGGGGGTGACAAAATTACATTAAACATGTATAATTTACCTACCAATCTATTCATTGCAATATCAAATACAATATCTCCCAAAAGATTCAAAACATGTTATAAATTGGTGAAGTTATTAATTATTCAAAGTGCAAAAATGAGAAAAATGTTTAAATTCTCCCAAATAATAAGAATGGTAACCACTTTACTTAACTGTAAAAATCTTTAGTTTTCCTGGAATAAAGTATGCACTTTTGTGATTTTTAGAAAAAAGACATGACAAGGAATGACATGAGCCAAAAAGATTCTAAAATTGATTTTTTTTTTGTTTAGCCTGCTCGCTATATGTGATTCTATCTTTAATACATTCTGGTATCTATCCAATATCCACCCTCTATTTTTACAGATTTTGCAGTCCTACCCAGATGTCAACATCATTCTTGATTTCAACAAATGTTCTTAAATATGAGACACTCGGATCCCTCTTTAGGGCTGGTCCAAAGATAAACAAAGGGTCACATATAATATCCTGCGGCGACCGTGCGGTCTATCATTTCTGTGGTCAGTAACATTTCCACGCTCACCGTGGAATTTCTAAGGTCGGAACTTTTGCAGTCACATTTCCTACGGCAGCCACGCGAAGAGTTTTTGATTTTCTGTTGATTTAACGTTAATTCTTATTTTTATGTTATCCTTACCAGTACAATTTATAAATGTTGCAATTGTATGTAGTGTTAGGATATAGTATCGAATGAAAAAGGCAAGTGAAATATAAGTTGCTGTGGCATCAGTAACCTTACATCAAACAGTATACGTATTGTGTTGTGTTTACAGCACACGTATGACCGAAAACTGACATAAAACTGTCTTCAAATGTATATTACCCATCAAACCATAACGCAGACGCAACAAGTCAACGGCAAACCCGACGTGCGGCCACCATTGGACCTTTCTGCGGGCTGGCAACGGCCTGTTTGTTTGTACGGGGACCACAGAAATGAACAAATATTATAACTCCGAGTTATAATTTCTATGGCTACCCTCCGACCTGTAAAAAAAACTGGATACGCCGCACAGAGACCGCGAGGCGAGCGTAGAAATTCACTGATTTAATTGATCTGCGGTCGTCGCACGGCCTACGTATGACTGGGGTGTCTTCTGTATACTACAGGGTGTCCCGAAAGTATGCCCCCCCCCCCTAGGCAGATATACACCAATGTCCCCATAGTATGTATCATATATCATTTCAAAGCTTGTCCAAAATTACATTGATTTGCCAAGTATCATGGTTCAATTCATAAACGGGAAAAAGTTACACACATTTCAAAATGTAGTGATTTACCAAAATTAAAGTTTAGTTTTACATAAAATTAATAGTCGCCGCATCTCCCTTGGCCATGTTAACAGCAGCAATTCTTTCCAGATATGACCTTAAATACACTGCAAATAGGGGTATGGCATTTAATAATCCTCATAAAACCTTTTTAAGGCATTTTAGAAGAGTTTCCTTGGAGTATCTGCCCTTACCGACCTCTTTTTACAACTCGATATCCATCCTCTCTAACGATAGCACCCATATTTTTGGTCACATTCAGGTTAGCGGTGTTTCCAGGATACTGATTTTAACTTTAATTTTTGCCAAACACTAAGTTTTGAAATGCCTGTAACTTTTTCCCATTTGTAAGTTGAACGATGATACTTGGCAAATCAATGTAACTTTGGATAAGCTTTAAAATGATATATGGCACATACTATGGGAACATTGGTGTATGTCTGCCTTGGGGGCCCCCATACTTTCGGGACACCCTGTACAGTATTTACAATGATTTCACACTCTGCAAATATTGTGCAAAATGAATGATAGACTTTAAAGTAAGAGCATTTTTATCCGGACTTTTTTAGGGTGTTCTTGATTATACCCATGTTGATAAAGCCATATCATCTTTAAATGAACGAGGGTGAGTGAAATTAAGTATAATTACTTCTTTGGGGGTTACGAATAAGTATATTCATAAATTGTAATTCATAAAAGTTCTCTTGATAGTTCATGATTTTCTAAAATCTGTCCACATCCGTTTATATTCAATAGCTTCATATTTTACTTAATTAGGGTGAACGTTATTGGTTCCAACATATTCAGGGACCACGAAAATCACATGTTTCCATTATGGGCCAGCGATAAGACAGAAACTGAAAAAATCGACCTGATGAAAAAGCGTGTCAATGATGTGGCGGCACATTTCAGTGGGAAGTGAGTATTCCCCTCGCAAATCTTTTATCGTGTTTTCTAAATATTTTATTACAAGCATGCTAACTATTGCTCCGTAGTTCATTATATATATAGTATGTTAACTATTGTTCAGTAGCATGTTCTCTATTGTTCAGTAGCATGTTCACTATTGTTCAGTAGTATGTTAATAATTGTACATGTTCAGTAGCATTTACACTATTGTTCAGTAGCATGTTTACTATTGTTCAGTAGTATATTCACTATTGTTCAAGTGCATCTTCAATATTGTTCAGAAGCATGTTAACTGTTGTTCAGTAGCATGTTCACTGTTGTTCAGTAGTGTATTGACTATTGTTCAGTAGCATGTTTACTATTATTCAGTAGCAATATTCACTATTGATCAGTAGCATGTTCAATATTGATCAGTAGCATGTTCACTTTTTCAGTAGCATGCTCACTATTGTTCTGTAGTATGTTCACTATTGTTCAGTAGTATATTCACTATTGTTCAATTGCATGTTCACTATTGTTCAGTAGCATGTCCACTGTTGTTCAGTAGCATGTTCACTATTGTTCAGTAGCATGTTCACTATTATTAAGTAGCATGTTCACTTTGATCAGTAGCATGTTCACTATTGTCAAGTAACATGTTCACTATTTTCAGTAGCATGTTCACTGATTTTGCAATATCATGTTTACTATTGTTCAGTAGCATGTTCACTGTCGCTCAGAAGCATGCTCACTTTGTCAGTAGCATGTTCACTATTGTTCAGTAGCATGTTCACTATTGTTCAGTAGTTTGTTCACTATTGTTCAGTAGCATGTTCACTATTGTTCAGTAGCATGTTCACTATTGATCAGTAGCACGTTCACTGCTGTTCAGTAGCGTAGTATGCTCACTATTGTACAGTAGATTGTTCAGTAGCGTGTTCACTATTGTTCAGTGGCATGTTCACAGCAAAGAAGCGTTACATGTAGCATGGCATTTAGCATAGTAGCATAACATGTAGCATAGCATGCATGCGAGGCATATTCCAGAGATGGCGCACTCTCGGCCACCTCGTAACATTGGTACACTTTCGATGCAGTCAAAGTTACTTTTATATAGGCACTCATTACAACTCAAGAGTATTCCGGAATTTTACTAGAAAAGCCTAAAATGAACCTCATTGAGGTTTAAATTGGATTCTTTTCGCTTTATATTCCACTGTGTTCCATTTGAAAAACTTGTTTGCAGAGTTGATACGTATATAGTCTGTCGAGACAATCTCAGAAGAGGCTACTACCAACAGGCTACAGGTGATTATGACATTATTGACAAGATGTTCGTTTGGATGGAAGCAACGGGCGACCCGGCAACTCTAGTCATCAGTGACACCAATGTGATACGATCTTCGGAACGCACTTCAGTAAGTGACGCAGATCATATACTAGTAAGCTGAGATTATTCCAAAAATCTTCGACTCACATTTTAGAGACTATATTTAAGAAAAGAATAGTACTCTTATTTCAGACTAGGTAGAATAAAAGAGTCAGTGTTTCATTGCTTTTCAGGCCCTTGCACAGCAAGCAAAGACACTAAAGGATTCTGGTCACAATCTTCAGATTGGTGTCCAGGGGATGTTTGAGGCTGCATATACTGTAGACCCTATACGATTGATGGTATGTTACGAGACTTACCATTAGTACTGTTAGTACCTCAATTGAAATACTCAATTCTGATTGGTTGATGAGCGGTCAACAATAAGTACTGTTGACCGCTACTAGGTACGGTTGACCGCTACTTTTGAAATTCTTTAATTTTTTTTAATTTTTAAAAAAATTGAAAAAAGTGTTGTTGTAATTTTTTAAATAAACAAATTTTGGGGACATTTTAAAAAGTGATTTTTAGCTGAAATATGATACCTACACTTATCAAATATGTTCATGTGATATTCGATAATATATCCTTCCAATTATAATATTCTTCGGACTAAAAAAAAAAGTTAACCTCTCTATTCGGTCGACTGGCAAAAGTGTATACCTCAACTGTAAACCTCCGGTCTCGGTCAACAGTACTTTCAAGGTTTACAGTATCGGTATACAATTGTGCCAGTTGACCTAAAGAGAGGTCTACAATTGTATATTGTTTACCATTTTTAGAAAGTCCCAAAGACGAGGCAGGCAATAAGTGTGAAAGGAATAAATGAATAAAGACTCTTCTTATTGCGTGTGGTCAATGGCATAATATTTCTAGGACCTCTGAATAGAGGATATGAATACTATTCATATTGTACTATTCTTCTAACTATATAAAAAAACATATGTGATCACGATGTATCTGGTATCTTTAGGCTCGCTTTGACATACTTGCTCAAGCTGAATTACCAATATTGGTTACTCGGTTGAACATACAACGTGTAGATGTAATGGAACGTGCCCGAGACCTTGAACATTTTCTGAGAGTTGCATTTGCACATCCCAATGTAGATGGAATCACCCTGGAGGGGTTCTGGGATCAAAAAATGCCTAGAGCAGACAGTAGCCTCGTGGATACAGACGATTTTGTGGTAATTAAATGATTGATGATAACAAAATTATAATACAACAAATCATTCTCGTGTTTTTATTTCAAATATTTGTGAATAGAAAAAATGTTATATCATGTCTTCATTTCTCTCCTTTCAACGCGTAGATCAACAAAGCTGGTTGGACGTTAAGCAGATTATTTAAAAAAGAATGGAGAACCGATGGTATCCTGACGCTTCCTGAGAAGTTTTTGTCACAGCAAACCGCCAGTTTCCGTGCATTTTATGGCGAGTATGAAATTGACGTGATGGTTGATGGTGAAGTCGTTGATACTCGCACTTTTAGCGTTCACAAGGGAGTCCCAACTGAAATTGACGTTGACATTAACTCACCTAATACAGTATAGTGTGTAAAACATTAACATGTATTTATTCATATAGACGATGATAAAGTCAACTTTGAAAACAAACTTAATATGTTTAATAAGAAAAGTGTCTGTCTTTAAATTGAAATGCTGGCCTGTAAATCCTGTCTGGTTATCGAGGTATTAGACTGGTAAAGATGTCGCTCGATAGGTATTGAGTTGATGATGTTCGGGGTGTTGGTTCAAACCCTATTTATTGTAATTAACCTTGAAGTATGTAGCCTTTTTTATAACACGAAGTCGCACGGGGAGTCATTTGGACCTGGCGATTGATAACTACTCTGTTTGATTAATGTTGGTATTGTTGTAAAAATTATTCAAATACGCCTCGAACATCTAACATACTTATTACTCAGGCCAACATGTTCATGAAGTACATCATGTTGGAAAGGGAATTCAATATGTTGAATGACTATTTATCAAACAGAGCAATAATGATTACTTTAGTTTCTACAGTATCAGAAACAAAGTAATTGTCAATATATTATATATATTTATATATACTTTTGCCCAGTTACCTCCAATTACTTTAATTCTTATGCCAAATATGTCATTTATAAGTGGCTCAAGCTAGAAATAGAATGGATGCAAAAACAGCAAAAAAACTCATATAATCCGAGATTTGACTTTTCCCAGTAGACATAAGGATTAATGAATAAGGATTGTCCGTTTCTATGTTTATTTTTGACCAGGTCCTATAAAGTAGCATTAGATCCAGATGGTTTAGTGAATAACCAAGAAGTGTCAATTAAACACATTGATTATCACAGATTCGATACATTATACTCAATATTAGACAAGTTAACACGTACAATTCAAGCTGTTAAATTAAAAAAAAACATTGCTTCCTATCGCAATCCATTTTGAATTATTAGGATAAAATTGCAAATGTTCAAATTCTCCAGACAGGCAGTTTAGAACATCCACGTCGCTATTGATGTTAATTTGGAAAGGCTCCAACGTTATGAGCACCACACAAATGCTATCAGTCAAGTAGGATTAATAATGCTGTGACACCTGTAGCAAATATCATTGATGCTAATATCCGTTTACATATGATCGTTCAATCGTTTAGGAAGCTAAATGAAAATATAGCTGAAGAAGTGCGACTCAGATCAACAGATATTATATTATAAAGCATTGTTTAAATATAAATATTGAAATCTTTCGACGAGCGACAATTGACAAGGGCCTAGAGCAAAATGGAGTGCGATCATTTATCCCTGGTGCTGGGTCTACTACTATGTTGCGTCTATGCCAACGGTCTCGGGATCTACAAACTTGGAAAGGAACTCATTGTGAATGGAAACATGGAATATGATAACTGGGATTCACAATACCAATGGTACAGTCCTAAAGCCACAGTGACACAAGTACCAGGAGTGGTTGGGAATGCTGCAGCCATATTGGAAAAGTAAGCATAAATTGTATATTTAACCCTAATGTATGCAACCTTTTTTAGAACACTAAGACGCAAGAGAAGAGGGACATTTGACCCCCCCCCCCCTTGCGGTTTTTATTGCTTGTCTGATTTCAATAAGGTCATCAAGATCCAAGTTTCATAACTTTGCCCCTCTACGCCCAATCACCTTGATTTTTACGCCAAAAAATGTCATATCTCTGACTCGAGCCAAAATCCCCCCGCCGCAGACATTAGGGTTAATCTAACCTTTTTTGAATTTATGATTAATCTGAATCAATGACGATGATGATTCATCATGATTTGGTTCATACAATTGTATTGAAACTACATTGTATATAAGGGGAAAATAATAGTCGGCATGTCTAAATCTAAATCCCAACGGTTTGTCAAATATGCCTCAAAGAACCTGAGACTAACATAATTTTATGTTAGTCTCAGAAAGAACGAATGGATATAAGCGCCGATGGGGTCACTTAACAGTTTTTGAAAAATGCAATGTAGTTAATTTCCTTGATACGTTGTCCAATCATTTAATCTTCATATAACAGGAGTCATTTTTGTCGAGGAATACTTTTTATATATTATCACAGTTCACTGGCTGATCATACCAATGTTCATATTTAGAAATCCAGCTTAACTTTATTATGCAGAAGAAATATACTGTAAGCCAGAATCAGTAGGTGGGAAAACAACATTTACCAATAAAATGCCCAAAGCAAAGGGAACTGTATGAGTGAACTGCAATCACCCAGTACCCCCTATATGGAGACAAAGGGGTTACATCTTTACCGTAGTGGACTCTTTTTGAGGACTTCCCCATTTTGACTGAAGACGATTTATGTCAACTCACTTTTGGTGTACATGTATATCAAGCCAACCAATCTAAACGATTCACAGACGACCATTTTTAAGTAGATGGGAAATATACCATCATTGTTAAAAAAGAAACATATTGCCTAATTTGTGTAAAAGCCCAGTAATTGGTTTGTGTCCTCTAAATCTCACTATAGTACATGGGCGGAGTACAACCCAGATCCAGTTGTATGTAATAGTATTGATGCAATCAATGGATGGTGTTGTTCATGCCCAGTTGGGAGTAGGGCTGTAGGCACAAGGGGTATAAAAGCAAAAAGAACTGCACAAACTTTGACATTTTAATATCAAAAGATATGTCTGAAATGTTGTCATCTGAAGAAGATGATAATAGCTTATAGAGTATCTTATTATAATGAACAAACACATGGATGAACTCATCTACAGAAGGACAACAGTTATGTAAAGTCCAGAGTAACCTTTTAGAAATTGTTATATTTTATGTGAAATAATAAATTCAGTATTTCACTGCCACTGCAAACTGTATATAAGCAATTGCTCTCAAGAAAGAAAGCACATCAATAATATAATTTTATTATTGATATGCATTTTTGACTTGTTAATTACTTCATGTGTTTTTCAATGTTACCCCTTGTTCTTTCTCATTGTGATGTAAATTTAAAAAAACTCAATATTCTTTTCTGACACATTTTTCAAACTTTTTTGTAGACGATTGATCTCAGTGAAGTATAAAAAATCACTATTCAGTATTTTTGCATTTCTGACTTGTTATAATTTACGTGTTTTCGAATGTTGCCCATTATGCTTTGTCACTATTACGTAAGATAAGACCAGGAGGATCAATTAAAAAAAGTATTAGATGACTGTAAATAATGATTATTTTGATAATAAATAACATTAAAAACAATAAAGGGTTTTCAAGACACTCGTCCTTTTAGAAAACCTTTTCAAAATAAGTTCATTTTTGGTTCGAAAAACAAACTTAGATAAAAAACGATAGCCTCCAAAACCCAATTTATGTTTTAAATGCTCTTTAGTCTATTCCATACATATACGTATAATGACTCGTTTAGGAATCAAAAATCAGTGCAGTTCGCTCAAAGGCTCTTCGATGACAGAGCTCTGGAGTCCGGCGGTTATTACTACATGGAGGGTTATGTAAAACTTCTGAACCATCCTGGGGACGAGGAATGGTACACGATGAATATGAAGTTTCGCTACACTGGGGAAGGTAAGTGTGCCGGTGCTATTTGAAAATCCTAACGAACATACCCGTCAGATAATTTGTCACGAAAATTAGCCAAAATGATCGCTTTACAAACAATATAAAAATGCGTTTTATCGCGTGTTTGTTTAACTCCATGTCATCAGCTGCCTGTTGTACACTACTGAAATCATAAGCAGCGAAAATGCGTAAAGGGTAGGCCAGAAATTATTGGACATTCAGACTATCTTTAAATGTAAAGTCTTCCGTATTTATCTTCATAATATTTTCTATTTTGAACCATACAAAGCAAACCTTGTTTGTTTGGCATGTATCTTTCTAGATTTAGGCGGGCAGAATTGGAGGTCCAAAAACAAGTTAGTTCGAATACGTATTAATGATTGCATTTTTATTAGATTCAGTACAAACATTTTTGGTAATCGGGAGTTATCCTCGACTGAGAGATACTGATGGCTGGGTAAAAATTGCAGGAGAATTTCGAGTTCCTGTAAATAGTAAGCCCGAAAACTTTTTTATAATCACCACGATTTTAAAACTTCTAAAAAGCATAATTTGCATTTCAAGCTGCAAGTGCTTAAAATCCTTTCATTGTGTGATATACTGTATATTTCCTAATAGAAAGAAGAATAGAAATAGAATAGAATTATATAACAAGGTAACGACAAAATTATTTAAGGTACGGGACATATTGTTAACGTGTACAGTGTGGATGGTCCTAATTTACAATTCGCCGTAGATGAAGTCAGTTTAAAGCAAATAATACCTGATGACGATTGGGAAGCTGCCGCCAATGAAATGATTGATGAATACAGGAAGGGAGAAGTAAACGTCAAGTAAGTCCGCTTTTCAATAATATCTACTTTGAATACTCAGAATAACGAAATTTGTTTTTGTAACTAGAACTATGAAAAAATAAGCAATTTTATATTACGTTTTCTCTTTTTTAGTTTAAAATAGTATTCTATATAAATTCCAGTGTGAATATCACCTATAACTTAGATCCAAGCTACGTCACATTTAAGGTGAGCATTATCCAAGTAGCCAAAAAGTCTCATGGAATTTTCACTTAAAACATAAAATCGTCCATAATTTCCAACTATGTAGCATTTGTAGTGTAGACATTATTAGAGATTTTGCAACGCAAAATACCGTACTTATAGATCTCTTATGTTCATAACTTAGTTCGTGCGCTACGTCATCGTTTGTTACTCTGGCCGATCCAGGGAGGCAGAAAAATTTCGCAACTTAGTATGTGCACTACGTCATCTTTTTTACACTAAAAAAATTTAGGGCCTCAAAGATTGTGTAGGGCCTCAAAGAATGAGCCCTTTTAGGCATAACTTTGCCTTTTTGGGCATTTTTTGGCCAAATTATTAAAAGTTTACAAATGGAGATATCGATGCGTTTTAGATTAAGCAATTGAGTCACGATTTTCAACTTGGAGCATATGTTTGGTCTTCTACCATCAATGGAAGCACTGATACAGCGTTGATAAGAGAACGCTACCAGAATTATGTCTATGACAACTTCAATTCTGCCGCAACTAGTAGAGGCTTCAGGTGGAAATTTGTAGAGAAAGACGAGGTATGAAATGTAAATTGTATAAAAGCCCGGCCGAACAGAATTGTTCAAGGGTCACTTTTTCTTTAATATATATTTTTATTTTCCAGTATTATCAAAAACTGAAATATGACGTGCACGGACCTGGGGACAATTCGGGAAATGCGGGCTTATCTCAGCTTTGAACGTTAATCTCTGCCTTATTTAAAAAGCCAACTATGTGTTTTACATATCATTTTGAAGTATTTTTTATTCGCATTTCAATGAAATTATTTTTCCTTCAAAATTTTGATGGGATCCAACACATTTTTAAAGTTAAATATACTCCGACATCGTCAAATACGCTGTAAGACGTAACACTTTACGCTTACAGGGCTCGTTGAAATTGAGATAACTTTTGAAATAATGATCAAAATCCCACTTAAATTTCAGAATTTATTCAATGGAACATTTGCATTTATGACGTCACAATTGCTTAACGGCTACATTTCAAATTATCTTATACGAACGCTTTTAAAATTTTCAAAATTGTGTAAGGTTTTGAAGGCGAATGGGACGAGCAATAAGTTTACCTTCATTTAACCTTCTAATTTAGGTCTGATTTGAAAGAAAATTTAACTGCACAATATTGTCATGGCGAAATTTACAAAACAATAACCGGTTTGTTTATTTTGCAAATAATATCAAAATAAGAGCTGGTTTTCGAGACTTGACAAAATGTGACGCATCGATTTTTTACCAAAAATTCCATACATATCAATTTTTACTAAAGCCCCAAGTGGATTTCTTGACCGTTTTTCAAAATTCAAAAACATTTTAGAAATATTGTCCTCGAGATCTTGCTACCCTGTAAATTTTGTAATGATTAGATAAGGATAAAGTATTTTATTTTTAGGTTGACTAAACTTGTAAAAAATGTGACGCTTGTCGTTTTTGACGTTGTAAGGCTGTTTGCGCCCTATACTGCTCATTGTTTTGTTTTGTTTTTTGACGCCATAATGTTAAGCCCGGTATACACCAATGGGGCAAAATCCCACTTGCCCCATCGAGTCCCATCTTGCCCCATGGAGTCCCATCAAATCCCACCGTGCCCCATTGGTGTATGTCGGGCTTCGCACAACACGTCATATGACCGAAAATCCCACGATGCCCCATGGAAAGAATGAACATGTTCATTCTCGATGGGACTCCATGGGACTCCGTGGGATTTTGCCCCATCTTGCCCCATCGAGTCCCACCGAGTCCCACGTGGGACTTCATGGGACCTCGTGGGACTCGATGGGGCAAGATGGGGCAAAATCCCACGAAGTCCCATGGAGTCCCACGGACTTCATGGGGCAAAATCCCAAAGGTCCCACGAGGTCCCACGCAATGTTAAGTCTATGGAGGTCCCAACTTGCCCCATTGGTGTATACCGGGCTTTACGCTAATTGTCCCCAGTTTCGTGCGACGTGTAATTACATTTGAAAACAAAAGTAAAATTCTGACATACAAAAAAAGTTATTTAAAGATTTCTATTCTGGACAATCAGTAATGTCCCAATATAATTGCTCATAAAACATCATACCTTAGATATATCTGGAAACCAAATCATAAGCACAATTTCACCAATATATTGAAGAAATCAACAGGACAACCAACAGAACAACCAACTGTCAGGATTGAACACAATAAGTCGATAACATGCAATAAACAATGTTTTGGTTTTTTTCTATATTTTAACCCCTTAGCAGTAATAAATGTGGCTCCTCTGAACCACAACAATTACAATCTGTTCAAACTGAAGAAAAAAGCCAATCAGACTGGAACAAATTTGAGCGGGCTTTTTAAATTTTATTTAAATTTTATTTTTAATTTCTACTGATGTAAGTGGAAATTCATGGCTAGGAACAATCATCAAATTGATACTGTTAATGAATTATAATTAATTCAAGCCTTAGCATTGGTAAGTTGATAAACTAACTTGTTTTACATCAAATAAAGACACGAAAAAATCAGGGGGTTACTTTAATTGGGTTTTTAGAAGACTTGATCTCTTTCAGGAATATCTCTTTTATTAATTTATTGATATTATTATAGGCGTTTATGCCAGAAATTAGTAGTATGAATGACACAAATACATAATTCATCATTTTGTCTCATATTTGTTCAAAAGTGACAGCATATGTTTCGTGAATTTAGATGTTCAGTTGAAAATCAATATTTAAGAAATGTCATAGGCCCGTGAAGTCATTTAGACTTTGGTAGTGACTAAATTTAAAACCTTTCATTTCAAAGTGACTTGTATGCATTGAATGTACAATATACTAGTAAGGTAGGGTCGCAAGTTTTTTGGCCAGTCTATTGTTAACATATAAACCGTAAAGGATTAGCAACCCTATTTTGTTTAACCCATGCAACTATAGGGTCATATTGCTACCACTTTTAATGTCTTTCCCAGTCGCTTTCGCAGTCCCTCTTGACCCATCCTTAGAATGCATTTGAATTGTTCTTAAGCTTTTCAAGGGCCTCTTAGATGGCTGTTTGGGCTTCTTGAAAAGATTGGGGACCTACTCTCATTGGACCCCACACATTGGGACACCACCTTTTCACATCCTCTTAAACACAATCCCTGGCCACTGAGGCCCGGGTATATAGTCATTAATAAAAAATCATATTCTTATACATGAAGTATTCTATAGTGTAATATACATGTATGCCCCACGCATTACAAACTCAGTACTTTTTAAACATTTTTAACGTATTCCTGGGCCTCAGCCTGGCCATTTCAGAAGAATTGAGTTCATGACCCTTGAAGGGAGTATTACTTCTTGTATTTGATCGGATTGATCAGTTGCTGCTGGTCAGGATTGTAACGGTGCCAGCATGACCCCATCGGTCTATGACATTTTTTAAATATTTACTTTCAACTGAGCATTCATATTCACGAAACATGCTACCATTTTTGAACGTGAGACAAAATGATGAATCATATGTATTTGCCTCACCCTTGCTATGGACGCCTATAACATTAATAAATTAAGAGATGTGCCTTAAACAGTTTTTTGTTTGTCAGAATTTTATTTTTAGCTTTCAAATAAGTAATCAGTTTTTTGATAATACTGAAAATTTAAAAAAAAGTTATTAACGAAAAGTGACCCTTGAACAATTTTGTCCGGGGCTACTATCTAAAGTGTGTTTCATTTGATTACTTCTTATATATACATTTTGCATTAACGTCAACTGAGTAGAACGAAATGCAGAAATTTTTTTTATTTCATCATTTACGTATATTACATACAATATGAGTACAAATAAATATGAATACAACCGTACAAAAATCAAATTACAATAAAAAAAAAGAAATGCAGAAATATGAAACCTCGAAGGGTAGCTTAATTATGTTTGTGATGTAGTATTATAATGAATTGATTTTCTTTTTGTATCACGATTTACTATGTATGGTTTTTATTCAAGGGTGTCCTTAATTTTGAGACCGTCGACAAAGCTGTGTATAGTCTTACGGAACGAGGGTAATAGATATTTCTCATTTAGTTGAGAATAGCCTGAATCAAATTTATATTCGTTTCTATTACATGTATATTTTTAGCAATTAGTTATTACATTTCTGATCGTTCTGGATTTATTAGTAAATAATATCTTAGTTAACATTTCTGGTTCCCAAATTCCTTTTTTTCTTTGACCTTCTTTCTTGTTTTCTACTGATGGTGAAAATAGAAATCAAAAACAATTTTTTTTCTTAAAGGAAGTGAATGAAGCCAATTGTTGTGCAAACAACTAAATGATATCTTAATCATTGTTGAGATTGTTTTACCCGTGGAAAGCGTTTAAATCATGCGAGTTCGTGTAATCATTATCATCATTGTCTATCTAGAGTGAATATTGTTGGAGGAGAAGTGTTCTGGGACAGCACCTACTATGGTTGGCCAGCATGGGTCAATGATAAGACGCCAACAGAAACAGTACAATTAATGGAAAAGCGTGTGAACGACGTGGTGGGCTATTTCAATGATAGGTAAGTATGAACGGCAGCTAAAGCGCCAACACTATGGGCAGTTAAAATATTAATACGTTTAGTTTAATTGCAATGGAGTATAGTATTTCCAAACATTTTCTTTTACAGGGTCAACACGTGGATTGTATCCAGAGACAATCTCCAGAACGGAGTGTTTCTAAGTAAAACTGGAGACTATAAGATCGTTGATAAAATGTTCGATTGGATGGAAGCAGCGACTAACGGGGCAAACCTGATTTTGACTAATATCAACGTGTTAAGACTATCGACTTTTACCTCGGTCAGTGACAAAAGTATCCATGATTCGTTGAGCTTCCGAGAAAGATAATATCTTATCCTAATATTTTGCTTAGTTTCTTCTGAATATGAATTACTGTACATAGATTAAGCTACATCATGTATGCTGATATGCTGATAAGTACTATTATATATTGCATTGTGTTAAAGGCTTTGGTCAATCAAGCAAAGACCCTGAAGGATTCCGGCCATACTATACAGATTGGTGCTATGGGAATATTTGACAGCATCTATACTATAGATCCCATAGAGCTTATGGTATGTTAGAAATAAGAAATAATAATTCAGGATTTTTAAGTACTGATTTAATGATATTCCGAATAAAGCATGATTGAATTGAAACAAAAAAAACTCGAATGAAGTATTTAACAGTATTATTGTGTTTAAAACCAAAACTAAAAATAACGAGGCATTCTCTGTAAGCTTTAATTTACTTCATTTGTTTTCCGGATCATTTATAGGCTCGTTTAGACATCTTAGCGCAAGCAGAAGTTCCTATAGTAATAACTAATTTGATTGTGCAACGTACAGATGTCATGGAACGCGCCCAAGACCTTGAGAAGGTTCTGAGAGTTATATTTGCTCACCCAAATGTAGAAAGAATCATTATGGATGGATTTTGGGATGGTAGACTTTTAAGAGAACATAGTAGCCTCGTGGATACAGATAAGTTTGTGGTAAGGCTATTAATATTGAATGATTGGATGCTCTGTCCAGTTGTTAGAGTATAGCGGCTGTCTTCTACGCATTGCCGGAAGTATTGAGTTCCGAGTTTTTACAGTGCATATACATCAAGATGCATAATATTTAAGAAATACAGGGTGTTCCAAAAGTAACAGGACTGGTGCTGGTAAAAATTTATGAAACTTGGTTGGAGTTATGGTTGCTATGGTAACATGACATCACAATACCCGAGGCAACATTTCAAACAGAAAGTTACTGAGACTTTAAGCATTTTGTACACCCCATATCAAAGTTAAAATCCAACAACTGGTGGGAATTACATTTGCTAAATTTTTTTTTTTTTTTTTTTATTGAATCAAACATAAAATAATACATTAAACAAGGCAATGATAAAATATTAAACCACTTTCACACCACCTCCATTCATTCAGACATTCGCAACAGTCATACCCAGAAGTTCTGGTATATACATAAACATGGTATTTTCAAATTGAGTCACGTCCAAGTTGGGATTTACCTCATTAAATTGTTTTGCATATATATAATATTTGATTGCTAGTGATAGCCTGTTTAGCAAAGTGTTTTCATTATTTACAGATCTTCCGAACACCATATCATGGGCATTAAAATTAAGATTTACATTGAATAATTTCCCCAAATTCTCTTTAATAGCTTTCAAAAAAAATCTGAACCCGCCTACATTCCCAAAACTTGTGCTTTAAAGTGTCTCTTAATGGACAGTAACTACATCTAGCATCCTGTTTAATTCCTATCTGCGTTAAGTAAGCATTTGTGGTACAAATACCATGTAGAATCTTAAATTGAAGTTGTCGAATTTTATTTTGTTTCGTGCAGCTATAAGCCATTTTAAAATAATCTATTCTTCCTAACTCACGATCATGTTCATTTTTATATAGTGGTTCCAAATGTTTGTTTCTATTTAATATTTTTTGAATTGACTTCACTGTTAAACCATTCAATGACACTGGTTTTTCGCCAAATACATTTGCTAAATACATCATTTGATATTCTTATGTATCCTCTACTTTGAAAAGTAGGCTCGCTCCTCTTTGGTCAGTCCAAGAGTAGTACTCCGTATCCATTACTCAAACACATGAGTGAATCCATGTTAGGACATGGCAGGGTCCATCGGACAACTTGGAGACGGTCATTCTCATCTTTAAAGGTCCTACCGCGCTGATTAACATTCCATTCTCAATATAAGTAAAAATTAGATATTGCATGATCAGAAGAATATGTTGCATGGTCTTAGTCCTCAAGACCTAGCTCCTCTATACCTGCAGTGGTCTTTAATGCTGACTTGCAGGCAGGCATGTTATCAAGGTGGATAACTGGCTTCAAATTGGGTCTTTTCAAAAGCTGAACCGTGAATTGTGCAGACTGTCATACACAGTCATATTCCAGTAAATTGAATAAATATTATTATTATGAAATCATACTTGAATCTGAGTTGTATAGCAACACCATACTACAAAGCAACTAATAAAACAAACAAAAAATGTTTTAATGTAGTAGGTGAATTAGACCTTTCTTCAGTAAAACCAAAATGTTAGATATTAAATTTTCATGAAAAGGTTTCCCCGGGTATTGTGATGTCATGTTACTATAGCAACCATAACTCTACCTGCATTTAATAATTTTTTTCTGAAACTTTAGAATTTTAGTTGCACTACTTCAAAGTACAATTTGTGAAAATTTGAACACACTCAGTTCAGAATTGACAAAATGCGAACACCAGTCCTGTTACTTTTGGAACACCCTGTAAGCTGTATAGACCGAATGTCAGGTATTATGCGAACAAACACCACGAGGATACACTGCCAATCTCAAACAGCATCAAACAGCGCTGTTTATGAAAAAGTGCTGGACAGCGCTGTAAAACAGTACGCTGTTCAAAAAAGAAAAACACTGTACATCGCTGTACAGCGCAGTCTCTAGTACTCGAAATGCTGTTTACAGCTCTGCAAGATGTTGTTGCGGATATGGGGTGTAGGCAAAAACACTCTCTTTTCTGGCCTTTGTAACTCCACGGTGTCCAACCCAAACGCTCTTACATGCACGACGGAGCGTTTCATTACTGAAGCTAAACAAAGAAACGCTCTGGAGTAGGAAAAATGGCGGGCGGGAATGATGGGCCGTCTGACGATTTCGAGTATACCATTCGATGGGTGTGATATTAATGTTGTACTTGGCTGGTTGTTGACGTTTGAAGCAACTTGGAAGTGCTGTACGAAGCAGTATAGTTATCAAAATTCAAAAACGAATTTGTCAGTCTACCGGTCAAGACCACTTTTGTCGAGACGTATGATTAGTTGTGTAAAGATTGGAGCATCAGAGTATATTTTGGTCAATTTACTAAGCTTCAACGCACAATACATTATCGTAATTGTGATTTGTCGACCGAAAATCCAGTCTTAAAAATGATAACAATCTCATATTAAAGAAACGCTGCGACCTGGTACAGTGAACTAGAAACGCTGCGGTACTAGTCTAGATATGCTTAGGCATTTGGGAATTAGCTTGACTTTCCTTTTCAGGAAGAGAAAGAAAAGATCTATTATATCCATTGGCATTAAAAGAAGAACGATTAATTCACATATAAACGTTTTGTTTATTTGTCAATAGTTTTAGCACACATGTAGGCATAGCATCTGATGTAGGCTTCAGTCGGCTTGTTGCATGTGTAGCACCACCAGCTGGTTGGGAATTTACAATTAGCCTAACTAGTACAACACGTTTTTTAGAGATAGATTCGATTACGAACTCTTCTCTAATGATCTGAAAATAATATCAAAACAAAATGGTAAGAGGGTTTCTAAAATTGTGTCCAAAATCGACGGAGCGTTTCGAAAACAGGTGATTTTTCGAGAACAAGTAATCGATTTGGACTGGGATTTTATCAAATGAGAATATACGAGTTTGTGATTTACTACTTTGACAGAAAGATTGACGTTCATTTAAATACTAATTTATTTCATAATTTGTGGTAATTCGTCAACTTCAGATTCGTTCCATCTACACTACGGAGCTTTGATCAAGCAAATAACAGTTTACCACCATAAGTTGAATAAATAAGATCTTTGCTCGTAGTATTGTTCATCGAATGGTACATAATATAATATGTCACCATAACGTATGATATGTAGGAGAAACGAGTGAAACAATACTTACGGTCATAGTGGGATCTTCAAAATCCGCCATTTTATTTCGCTCCGCAGCGTTTCCACGTAAATGAAACGCTTCGTCGTGCATGTAAAAGCGTTTGGGTTGGACACCGTGAACTCGTCCTAAGGTATTTATTACTGATATCTGATTTAAGGTGCATATGACGATTCAAACATGAAAATTCAGCAGAATTTAGCAAAAACGTCACTTCATTTCTTACTTCCAGTTTAGCGTTTAGCACTTAACGAAACACTGAGTACAGACCAGGGATTGTATCGAGGAATAAATACTGAGTGAAAAATTGACTTTGTTTACAGTTTATATAATGCGTGAATACAGTTTTTTCGGATGTAAATGAGCCGCCTATCGCTGCTACATCACGTATATCATTATTCTCTCTTCTGTTTATAATTATAGATCAACAAAGCAGGATGGACATTAAGTCGATTATTTAAAAAGGAATGGAGATCCGACGGTATATTGACCCTTCCTGAGAAATATTTAGCGCAACAGACAGCCAGTTTTCGTGCATTCTATGGTGACTATGAAATGGACGTAATGGTTGATGATGCAATTGTGGAGACGCGGAAATTCAGCGTTCATAAGGGAATCCCTACTAACATTGATGTTGATATCAATAAAAGTGAATGAGACGCAGTACCATGACAACTGACTTCAACTAAGTTAAACTTGTTACATAAACAAAATCAAAATATATATGTAGCTATTTTGAAACCTGACATACTATAACTTTATGTTTTGAAATCACTTTCAATGTGTAACAAATTATTTCCTTCTTAACAAAATAATTTTATTTGTATGTTTCAAATCAAATCCATCGTTTTGCATCAGTAGCTGAAAATTAGAAAAGGATTCCATATTTGTTACATCAATGCATGAAATATTACACCTCCTGTAATGAGTGTGGGCAACTTCTTGAAGCTATGATGAAATGTGTGGACAAAGCCCAGAAAAATCGTATCGTATTTTAATAAAAAAATACTAATACACGTCGCACGAAACTGGGGACAATTAGAGTAACATTATGGCGTCAAAATACAATACAATGGGCAGTATAGGGCGCAATCAGCATTATACACTGCGTCAAATGTGAAATTCCAAGCAATTTCTAGACGTGCAAAGATAGTCTAGGAACTCCGCGTATCTAGAGATTCCAAGACGTGTCAAGAGGTGCAAAGACCTCGCGTGTAAAGAGCGTGTCAAGAGTTTTGATATCTCTTTGCACAGCCTTATCAAAACAAACAGTATAATTAGACTGGCCACATGTTTTTATGCCCTATAGTCGCGCTTAATTATACTTAACTAGGATTGGAATATAACAATCATTTTAATTTCGTGTTAATAATAATTTGTGTTTTTTAAATCATTATCAAAATAAAATTAATTTAAAAGTATGCGTGTGCGTGTAAGTATAGGCAATAGCTTAGTCGGAATGAGTAGATGTGTGCAGATGGAGATCGCCTATGTATTTTGCTAAATCTGACATTTTTACAGGATCATGTTAAAGATCAAATGAAAACACGAAATGTGTTTTTCTTAGGTTTATCTACCCTGATTTCGAGTGATTTTAACTTGGACGCATATTCCTAGATATTAAAACAGTTTGAATAATTAACAAAGTCCACTTTGAACCGTGTCAATCAAATTATCAATTGTCAAATATGTAGATAGCACATGCAGGCCCGAATACAGGGGGGATAGATTGGTTCTAGCGACCCCCCCCCCCCCCTCCGTGACCAAAATTGCATTTTTTTACCCCATACTGAGCACCTTTTAAATTATTTTGCTCATTTTTGAACTAACATTGCCAAAAGTAAACTCCCCCTGGAATTTCTTAAAAAAGTAACCCACCCCTTGGCAAATCCTGGCTATGGGTCTGAAACGCCTGAAACATGCTCTGATATAATGAGGCATATTCTGTGATCTGAGCATATCAGATGGGAAGAGTTATGAATGTCAATAAGTGTGATTGTTATCATGTAATCATCTACCTTAATGTCAATACATTACATAATGTAGTAAGGCATTGTACATGTATTTAACAACAGGCACATCCTTCTTCAAAGGACTTCATTTATACTTGTAAAATACCCTTCCAGCGAGGATGCAATAGGCACAGTTACACAAGTTTTATGACCCCAATTAGATGAAATATGAGCTGGGATGAAAGATCTCAAAAATCAAGGGCTGGGAAGATTTGAGATGTCATGGTTTACTATCATGACGCTGAAACATGTGTCGCTTATTGTCACCTGTATTGATCATGATGGGGCGACGGCAGTGCCCCGAGTCTTTTTGATCTGTTTAATCTTATTAGTTACTATTTAAAATTGAATAATTTAGGACCCCGGAAGCAAAACAACTCTTTGTTATGAAAGGAATACACCACCCACATGGACAGAACCCCTCATGTAAACCATCTATAAATACCTTTGAAATCAATTTGATTTTCGATCTACATCTGAATCTCAGATGGAGAGTACTCTTTGACAAGATCAACATTTAAAAGTGTAGGAAAGTTTTGATAAAGATGTTTAATAGCTAATTATTCAGACATATTGTTCTTTCATGTTGACGATCATCGAACATAATTGCAATCAACTTCCATGATATTTGCAATTTTGAATTTTGAATTATTTTGAATGCAAATGTACTCAAGTACTATATCCTGAGTTCTGCCCGGATCCCCGAAAACGTTTAAAATCAAACTCGATTATTTAGCTAGACTTCAAAATAAGGCATTCAATAGAAACATGAAATCCATATCACTGTATAAATTGTGGAATTTCTAGTAATCTTTAGACGTGCTTAGCCGGTCTAGAAACTCTGCGTATCTAGAGATATTGACCAGGGCCTACACCAATATTCTTAACACCACTTATTAAAGGATGCATGCATCAAGGGGTAGACATCATTCAAAAGACATAAACATGACCGGGTCGGTCAGGGGAAGGTTTGCATACGATGCAATTTGTACATGCAAGCTCATTTTTCACATATAAATTAATAAAGTCGATTCCTTGGGAATACGTTATTGGGTTTATAAGCGTAACGAGGAGAAGCGATGGGTTCGCACCCCTCCTACAAGCAATAAAAGGTACCATAAGGTAGAGGAAGAAAAGAGCATTAAATTGATTTTTTGTTTGAAGCTTCTAGCTCAGGTTTGAAGGAAGTTGCATCATTTTCGTAAAAATTCAAAACAAATATTTTTTGCCTCATTTATGTCACGATCGCACCCCCCGACTGAAAACCTAAATATTTTGGTGATTGCATCACCACTCCCCCCGACTGAAAGCTGGCTACGGCCCTGGGGTTTTATCGAAAACTATATCGTCAACATTTTATCATTATGCGGAAAGTCCAATATGAAATCTTAAATGGTAAATATGTTGCATTTATGGAGGGAATTCCACTGTAAACTATAATGTGAATGTTTGATATGAATACTTCCATACAACCATCAATATCCATTCTTTTGAAATAAGATGTTACAACAAAGGGAATATTGAAAACTACAGTGGTAAGAGCATCTTTCTGACTGCTAATTATGTGTATCAACATTTTGATTGCACCACAGCTGGAGATTAAATCTTATAATAATTTGATCAAAGGGATTGTAATTTTCCCCAATTCGCTTATCTATGTTACAATCTGTATACTTGTTATATTGTGAGCGGTATATGTTGATAAACCAAAAAGATATGTTTTTTGGATATCAACATTTAGAAAAAAGTGTAAGATACCATTCTATATATTTTCTTAGTGTTTAGCATAGGTAAGAATGGGGGATGGGCTGGCGGGGGTCCGTCTTTGAATAATTCCAAGGGGTTCATATATTATCACAATTTTGCAACAAAATCACTTGGAAAGTGCATGATTTGAAAGATTATTTGGCCAAGGCGTCCGCTATTAACATGAGTATGAATTTTATAAAAAAAAATTACTTGAATCAAAATCGAAGAATTCCTTGCCCCGTGTGTTCACCATTCACCCCGGGAGTTCACACTCGGCTCAGGTGGGGTACCTTTTTTACATTTGATTTGGTATGTCAAGCCAATGGACCCACATTTTAAGACAGATTTTTCCATTTTCTGGTATAAGAGTCGGTGTGGAAAATATGTTACCCCTCAATTGTGGTACGGCATTGGTCCCGGGGCATTGGTCTAGTTGTTACACATATCCTTCATTTGAGGTTGTTTATGATCATTTTACTCAAAGATCTGCCTTCTTCTCGGGGCATTCGATATTTCGAATGGCCTTGGTCTTATATTCTGGATATTTGGTACCCGGGGGTATGGCATTGGTTCTATATTTGGATGTTTGACATGGCATTGGTCTTGTGTTTGGACATTTGATATGGCTTTTTGGGGTTTATTTTAGTTTGTATGAGAACACATTTAATGCCACCCCCCAAATTACAAATCTACATCTATTCTCTCTATCCCAAAGGTGGATCGGAAGCATGAAAAACAGATGCAGACTCGGGACAGTTGCGAGGGGGGCTATAATGGAGAAATTCGTTTTGATTTTGAGTCTAACTGAAATATTTTGTCACAAATATTAATTAAATACGCAAATAGCCTGTTTTATTAAATGAGACTAGAGCAAAAAATCTCTTCATTAAATCTAAAGCCTAGACGATATCTTCTGTAATCAAGGTGGTTTTGGTACACTTCCGCAATTATAAAAACAAAAACATAGACTAAGTTATTAATCTTTTGTTATCATATCAGATTAAGTCAGTTTTGTCTCCGATTGTTATGCAGGTGTGTGTATCGACTCCAGTGAACAACATTAAGTGAATCAATCCTTGAAATTCCCAAATTCATTCCAAATTCTGGCCGTTAACCCCCCCCCCCCCTCCCCCATGTCTCTTAATTACATTAATTTTGCAAATGATATATAAATTATAGATTAAAATATTTCATTTTCGAATTGCACAAAGGGCAACATGTGAAGATAAAACCGCGATCCTAAAGCTACTTGCGAAACAAAGTGGTTTATGGTCCCCAATATCATTATTATATTAATACCAATACAATGTACCTCTATGAATATCATAAATTCACTCCTTTTTAATATCAATAGTCAAACAAATTAAGTAGTATGCTACAGTTGGTTATCAATCGGAGTTCACGACCTATTGATTACTCTTTAATACAAAATTTAACCATTTTAGAATGGGTAACTCACACCCCCGGGCTCACACCCCCCCCCCCCCCCCGTCCATGTCCATGAAGTGCGTAGACTGACATAATAGTGCCATTTATTAATTAAACATCACTGATTTATGTTGAGACATTCAGTGCGATTATTAGACTCCAGATGAAAATCTGGAGTCTATTGCTTTTGCCAGTTTTCTTATTAGACTCCAGATGAAAATCTGGAGTCTATTGCTTTTGCCAGTTTTCTTTATTATTATTCTTTCAGAATCTTCCTCCTTCCCAGATTTCTCACCAACTAGAAGAGCTTACTTTAAGCTGCTTACATGATCAACTAGGGAATGTATCTGGGATGATGGAAAATTAGGTCAAATTTTTATCTAGGTCAAAGGTCAAGAATTAGGTCAAATCCAGTACTTTGTCACTTTTTCCCATTATCTCGGTCGTCCTTCGATATTTTCGATCCTG